TGTTGCTAAAAGAAAGTATCATTATATGATGGAAACCATTAGAGCCTTATTGCTATCTTCATTTGTTTCTAAGAAATTTTGGAGGAAAGCGGCACTTACTTCAATTTATGATATTAATCATATTCTTTCTTTTGTCATTGGTGAAATTTCTCCTTTTGAACACTTGTATAACAATACTCCTAATTATTCTAAGCTTTGTATTTTTGGTTCTACATGCTTTGTTTCACATCTTAAAGTTTAGTGTAATAAATTATCTAAAAAAATTGTCATTTATGTGTTTTTAGGGTATGGTATTAGACAAAAAAGATATCGTTGCTATGATTCTATTGCACAAAAATTTTATGTTTTTTGGTATATTACTTTTTGGAAAAATATTCCAATATATTCATTGCCTTGTTTTCAAAAATCTACCAATGATACTCATGAGTCTTTTATCTTTTTTATCCTTTTGTTGATTTAAATGACTCTAATAAATCTTCTCATCTGTCTCAAAGTTTTTCAACTCTTCAGTAAATTTATCCAAATGAAACTTGTCATGTCACTAACTTTACCATAAGCAATCATGCACCACCATTATCCAATTCATCAGAGTCATCTGTCCCAAAACTTAGATGTTCAACACGTGAGCGAATTCTTTCAAAATGTTATCATGATTTTCATTGTTTCTTATCTACCATTCTTTCTGTTTATGAACTTAAATCTTATCGTGAGGCTAGCTTTTATCCTTTTTGGCAAGCAACTATGAATTAGATGTTTTAAAGAAAAATATTCCAATATATTCATTATCTCTTGAAAAATTTGTAATAGATTGTAAGTGGGTGTCCAAGGTAAAGACTAAATCATATGGGTCTATTGAGAGATATAAAGCCAAGTTGGTTGCAAAATGATTTACACAGGAGTATGGTATTGATTATGAAGAAACCTTTGCTCTTCTAGCTCAAATGACTTATGTTCGAACTCTTATAGCTATTGCTTTTATTCGATGATGGGTTTTATCACAAATGGATGTAAAAAATGCTTTCTTGAATGAAGATCTTTGTGAAGAAGTTAAACTTCCTCATAAATTGTCTTACTAAACTAATCAAGTCTGCAAGCTCCGACAAGCTCTGACAAGCTTTATATAGTCTTAAACAAGCACCACGTGCTTGATTTGAGAAATTTAGCACTACTAAGCTTGACTCCAGATTTGTGTAGAGTCTTTATGATTCAACATTGTTTATTCATCGATCTAAAAAAGGTATTGTATTTTTGCTTCTCTATATTAATGATATGGTGATAACTGAAGATGATAACCTTGATATTCAAAATATAAAAAATAATCTTAGCAAAACCTTTGAGATGAAGGATCTTAGTCCGTTACAATATTTTTTGGGAATTCAAGTTAATTGGTCCTCTCATGGATATGTCTTATCTTAAGTGAAATATGCTTATGATCTTATTTCTAAAGTCTACTTATCTAATAATAAAACTATTGACATTCTTTTTGAAACTAATGTCAAAATGAAAACTACTAATGGAGAACTTCTTAATGATGCTACTTTTTATGGATAATTGGTTAGTAGTCTTATATATATGACAGTTACAAGTCATGATATTAGTTATGCAGTTCAAGTTGTAAACCAATTTATGATAGCACCTCAGATAATTCTCTTTACTGTAGTTCTTAGGATATTGAGTTATTTGCAAGGAACGCTGCATAAAGGTTTGTTGTTCTCATCAACTTCTAAACTTGAACTTTATGCTTTTCTGATCTTGATTGGGCTAATGATGTTAACGATCAACATTCTACAACTAATTATTATGTTTTTCTAGATGATTCTTTGATATCTTGGAAAAGTAAAAAGCATACAGTTGTGGCGGGTTCAAGTAATGAAGTAGAGAATAGAACTTTATCAGACACAACATCAAAAATTATGTGGTTGTATCGATTGTTTATGGATTTAGTTACTGACACACCTATTCTTATTCCACTCTTTTATGATAGTAAGAATGCAATTCAAATTGCTCACAATGATATTTTTCATGAGAATGAAACATATTAAAATAGATCGTTATTTTATCATACAAGAGATACACAAAGGCACCATCATGCTATCGCATATTTATTCTGAATCACAAGTAGCGAATCTTTTTACAAAGTCTCTTTTAAGTTAATGTTTTGGTTATTTAGTTTTCAAACCCTAGATGTTTCATTTCAAATCATCTTCAATTCGAGGGGTTATTAAAATGTATACTATATTTAGTTGACTTATAAGGTTAGGCTTTATTTTTGGATATATCTCATGGGTTTTAAACCTATTTATACATTTGTATATATATGTATTTTACAACCCTAAAAATAATATGATTTTTTCACTCTTCAAGTCATCAGTAGTTGGGTCCTATCATATTTCATTAATTGCAGTGAAACTTCGGTTTTATATACATTATATTCCTCATGTAAACTTGTGCTTTTGAAAAATAATAATCTAATCATTTAGTGAAGTTATAAATTAAAAAAAATCAAAGATTAAAACTAGTTAATGTATCAAAACAAGTCAAATTACTATGTACTAATATTGGTATACTATACATACCAATTGAGGTATAGAGCTTACTGATCATGTTCTTTTTGGATTATAAACTTTTAAATTAAAAAAGTTTGTGATTTAGAATTTGTATAGCTAACACATAGTTGAACAAATAATCTATCCCTCTTTTTTTATTTTTTTATTTTATGAAATCATGGTTCCTTAAATGTATACAATCAATCATTTATTTAATCATTAATAAATCTTGTATTAGAAGTAATTCATGTCAATTAATTAAAATATACTCATGTGAACTTAGAATTATATGTGGGTGAGAAAGTCTGAAACTGAAATTGGATTAATGATATTCTTTTTTATTTTTTAAAAAGAAAATATATATGTGAGGAGCAAGGAGAGAAGGCGTAGGGCATGGCTTTGCAGCTAATATCTCTAATCTTTGCACTTAGTAAGCCAAAGGTTGTTCTTCAGATGCACACAAAGTTCATTCTTTGCTCTCTCTCTCTTTCTCTCTGATTCTCCAACTTTTATATGCACTAAAGCCAATTATATCCTTTGATTGCTTCAAAAGTTAACTTACGTGTCGCTTTTTCCTCTTATTATATTGTTTTTCGTCCACGTTCAATATCTAACAAAAAGGTCGAAGCTAACAATTTACAATTGTTGAGCTCGTCAGTGATCTTTTCCATGGTGTCTAGAGAAAGCAGCTTTGAACATGACATTCGTACCCAAGGAAAATTTTTGCAGGCATTACTATGATCTTGAAGCCCTTGCTAGGAGCTGCTCGGTACGGCTCACTACTAAACTAAAGAAGGTTCAGGCATGCTTCGACTTAGCCCTGTGATCCGCTAATTCATCTCTTGATCTGGTATTCCGAAAAGGAGGTGGATAGGGTCAGCGAAAGAAGTGGCGAGGGAGAAGAATTTATGCCGGGCTGATTTGCCATCATTTTAACAAAGGCCCAAAATCTTTTATTAGAAATGGACCAACAATTTCACTGAGATCCAATTGGATTTGGGCCTTTAGTTTTGTTAGAAATAAAGTTAGGCCTTAAATGGCTAGCTAGTCTATAATAGATTTTTCTGCACCACAAAACAATAACACACTTATTTGGATTTATGTAAACGCCGTCTGTTTTATTTCCTTCCTCTGCTCCATTATTCATGCAAATGAGAGGAAAAAAGTGAGAATAACCATTTGACGCAATTGCTTTGCTCCGGAACCCAATAGATTGGACTTTAGACTTTGGACAGCTGTTGGTTTTTTCTTTATTTATGGCCTTTTTAGCTCAAAGGCCTTCGGCTTCGTTCAACACTACTTAATCCGTCGCTTGATAATGATGTCACAAATCCCCCAATTTTACTCTTTGCTATTCTTTATTTTTTGTTATAATAAATATACATTTTTAGACCTAGTGAGTGTATTCTTTTGGGGGGAAGACACTTTAGACTTAGTTCCATTGATTAATTATTTTTTTTCTGCAAGGAAAAAGTGAAAGAGAAAGTTCCATTAATCTTGCTAAATACGAGTTAATAGGATCTGAAAGTAGTAGTATAAAATTTTATTTTTTTTTTTTGTAATTATTGCAGGCACGAAATAATCAACGCTCCCATGTGATTTTGAGTGAGATTGGAAATTAATACATGGAGAACTTTTGTCTCATTTAGAAACATCACTTGGACATGATGCAGTTTTTTTTTTTTTTTTTTTTTATCGAAGGACTTTTTGGGTTGCTGGATATGGATTTGATGATGGTTGGGACCAGCATAAGAGAAAAAACTGTCGAGGGGTGCTCAAGTTGGGATTTCTGGACGCATTTAAATCAGCAATATATGAGAGATGGAGATGAAAAGGGCAGAGACAGTTACATATATAAAAATTTAGAGTAATATGGCTTAGGTTTCCATGCTCTATTCTCATAGTATTTTTTTTTGTCAAATATGGTCGACCCGGCTAGCCGATATGGTCAACTATGAGTGTCCTTTCTCTGATTAACGTTCCATGCTTTGTTCGAATAGATGGTGTCTCTATTCTGGTGCCACTTGTGTAGTCTTATGGTGATGAACCTCGCGAGTTAAGCTTATCTTGAGCCTTAGGCCTAAGCTGGGAACGGGCATAACACTTAACAAAAGTAATGAGTTTCTAAAGTTCCTAAAACTGACAAACCCAACTCAACCCAACCCAAAACCAACAGTTAAAACTGAGATATTCCGACGGGGACAATCTATTTCTTCCAAACCCCACAAAGTGCTCCGTTTAATTTGTCCGAAATTTCTCGTTTAAGCGGTCAAAACACTTACGAAGGAGGGCCGTTTCCTTATTGCAAAACGCGTAACGGTCCCATCCCATCATGGGTAATGAACAGTGATCAGTTCATCTCTGCACTCTTCATTGTCAAAAGCCGTAAGAAGGGGAGGGAAGGAATGGCAAAATGGTAAAATCTGGCCACGGGCCACCCACGCCACGAGAGGCGCAAGCAAAACGTTGAAACGTGGCAAGAGAATCAGAGCGAGAAGGATAGAGATTGTCGCCTGCAACAATAATGCAGCGACGTTAAACCCAAACCAAACAGGTCCACTCTCACTCTCTCTCCAACCCTTTTTCTTATCTTTTGTTTTCCCTAAACAAAAATTAACATTAAAAAGTAAAATCAAACAGAAAGGCAAGGAAACCTAATTACTGTTTGCCGCTAAATCTGGCGCTTAATTCCCTTCTCTCACACTAAATTTGGCGCATTATTGCAACACTCGACCTCATCTTCTTTTCTCTTTTTTACCCTTCCCGTTGTTCTAATCTCTTTCTTCTCTGCCCTTGTGAAACTGTAGTTGTAGTAATTTTCTTGTTCCATTATTAAAATTTTTATTTGCTTTACTTCTTTTTATTATTAATTTTCGTGATTTGCAAGATTTTGTTATTTTAAATTGGTTGAATTTTGGAGGTTAGTCTTTTTTTGGTCCGTTTTATACAGAGATTTCAGTTATTGCGGCGCGTCTTGCTGATTAGGATCTGAAAGGCATTACGCTGCGCAAAGAGCTGGTCCTTTGTTTGCAGAGAAGAGGAGAAGAGAAGAGAAGAGAAGAGAGTTTCTTCTCTCTTCTATTCTCTGCTGCTAGGCTTTAGGATTGCTTCTGTTTTCTTTTTCTCTTTAAAAAAAAATTTCTTTTACATGTCGAAAGGTGGATTTGGTTTAATGAAAGAAACAATGGGAGATTTTGGTTGATAAATTATAATTAGGCGTGGTTTGGGAGTGTTCAAATTTTGTTGTTTAATTGCAATAATTATGTCTGGGGAGGGGGAGATTAAGCAGAAAGAGGATGAGTTGTTTTCCTTGCACAAAGCCTCGTTCTAAGGATAGAAGGATCGACATTGATAATGGAAGTCGAACTAATTCTCGCCATTCCGCTGATTCCTCAGGTTTTTTTTTTTTTTTTGTATAATTTGCTTATCTGTTAAATTCTTCTTAAAAAAAAAAAAAACTAGTTTCTTAGAGAGCAAAGGCAAGTCCAGACGGTATTGCTGAGGATTTTGACCCCAAATTTCTTGGAAAGCTCCTTTTTTTTTTTTTTACTGTGGATTTGATTGTCTTGGGCTCTTGGCTGATGCTAATCCTTTCCTTTTTTTATTTAAAATTTTTGGTACAGAGCATAAAAAAGGAAGTGATCAAGGAAAAGGCACCAAGGGCAGTGGGGCACGAAGTGTCACATTTCGAGAGTTGGCAACAGCAACAAGGAATTTTAGAGAAACCAATTTGATTGAGGAAGGAGGATTTGGAAGAGTTTTCAAAGGTCGATTGGAAACAGGGGAGGCAAGTTGCTTCATTTCACTTTTCCTTTTCTTTGTCTGCCTTAATTATTTAAATTGTTTAAAATTCAAATTTTATGTATCTCTTGGCATATTTCCAAAATCTGTTGTCTGTTTTACCTGTAACTTTTAAAATTGACTTGGATCATTTGATTTTTGTAACCAGATTGTTGCCGTTAAACAACTTAATCATGACAATCTTCAGGGCTACCAGGAATTTATTGTTGAGGTTCTTATGCTGAGCCTGTTACATCATGTTAATCTGGTCACCTTGATTGGCTATTGCACTGCTGGAGATCAGAGGCTCTTGGTTTATGAATACATGCCAATGGGCAGCTTGGAAGATCATCTTTTTGGTAATTTATATTAAGTCCAGACTGCAAAACTCTATTAAATATGTAATCCTTTTACTTCCACATTATCTATTGTTTCTTGTTTCCCTTCCTAGTGTCCCTCAATATGTTTGTAGACCTTTGCTTTACTATATATCCTTAGGGCATGGTGTACTTTAATAATGCAGAATTCTAGTTTTCATGAAGGTTTTTGCTGTCAGGAGAAATTCAAATTAATTAATTTTTGCCTACCTGTATTCTTATTTGATTCTTGGGCATTAGGTACTGTTTTAGGCATTTGATCCTTTTGATCCATGAATTCCCTCTTGTTAGATGAATTAACCACAACCAATTTTAATATTTATTCTTGAAGCAAGATTTCAGAACATCTTAAGCTGTATAATAGCCTTAGAATTTGTGCTTTGCACGGCTATGCATCACACGATCATCATTAAATGAGCTGATAAATGATTTGCATTTGCTTGCTGGAGTGGTGTTCATATTCACTATTAATACGCCTAGCACTTGGAAATGTAAATATTTAAAATTTGGCACCAAGTGGGATGTGTTTCACCTTGTTTTATCCCATTGTATTCTCACTTGGATGTTGGGTCTTGTATGACTTTTTTTTCTTTTGAATTATGGTAATGTACCATTTTATTCATATGATTTCAAATAGTGTTAATCAGACCATTCTTGAACGTAAAGGGACTATTTCAGATGGTTGTGTGTGAATATTGTAACTCTTCATTATATCTCAAGTGCCACGAATCAAATTTGTTTTCAGATCTAGAACCTGGTCAAGAGCCTCTGAATTGGAATAAACGGATAAAGATTGCTGTTGGTGCTGCTAGAGGAATCGAATATCTACATTGCAAGGCCAATCCACCAGTCATTTATCGTGACTTGAAGTCTGCAAATATTTTGCTGGATAATGATTTCAACCCAAAACTCTCAGATTTTGGCTTAGCAAAATTGGGCCCTGTGGATGACAATACTCATGTTTCAACCAGGGTAATGGGGACATATGGATATTGTGCCCCAGAGTACGCCATGAGTGGCAAATTAACTCTTAAGTCTGACATATATAGATTTGGCGTGGTGCTATTGGAGTTGATAACTGGACGGAAGGCAATAGATACTAATAAGAAGCGTGTAGAGCAGAACTTGGTTTCATGGGTAAATTAACCTTTTATTTATTTCTTTATCTTTTTTCCCTTTAGTGTTTTACTATGATTCACTTTGACTTCTTTCATTTCTTTTACACCTCCCTCTCCTTCATTCTAAGAGGCTGTATCTCATACTCTTTCTCTCACACCGTCTCTTGCAACCTGGGCTTTGCTTGGCTTTCTAAAGTTCTTTCTGTGCTATATAATTTACATGTTTTGCTGATTCCAAGTGTTAGTGCATTGCTTTTTTTTGTCTTTAATCTGAACTTGCTGTCATAGTCCCTTTAGACCTGTAGAATATCTTCAGTCTTTAATAAGTAACAATAAATAGTGGAATTTATATTCTATCACTAAATTCTAATGTGTTTCTTTTTTAATTCTTTTTGTGTGTTGCAGTCCCGTCCATTTTTAAAAGACCAGAAGAAGTTTGGCCTATTGGTTGATCCTGTAATTCGAGGATGTTATCCTCGCCGTTGCTTGAACTATGCAATTGCAATTACTACTATGTGTCTCAATGAAGAAGCCAATTTTCACCCACTTATTGGTGATATTGTTGTTGCACTTGAATATTTAGCTTCTCAGGGTCAAAATTGGAGCCCTAAATCACGTAATGTTGAAGTCTGCAGTTCCTCACAATCCTCACCGATGCAACCAGAGAAAGGTTTCCTTCGTCAATCTAATTCCAGAAAGGTTTGACCGCTGTTTGAAGTTGAAGTTGAAGTTGTTCCATAAGAGCTGTCAAGAAACTTTGATCATGTAAGATACAACTCATTTTTATTGGAGATTTTAGCTTAATTTAGAATGCTCTCTTCTGCATTTTGCTTCTCTTCTTTTTCGTTGTTATGAGAATCAAACAAAACTTATTTTTATTCCTTTTCATATGGTCTTTTGAGCATCATGTTCTGAAAAATAGTAGAGAGCTGACTTTGATTCCTTTAGATCCTTTTTTTTTTCTCTTTGATAAATGGTGTTTTACAGTTTTAACATTTTATTCCTTTGCTTTAATCAGACAGAAAAGAATGATAGAATCATCATTCTTGGACTGATTTGGATTTTCCCAGAATTTGCTGCAGGTTGTTACCTCATCTAGCATAGAAGGAAGACTTGCCAAATTCCATATACACCAACAAATGAGTACATATATGGGTATGTATGTGTGTGTGTGTGTGTGTATATATATATATATGTATGGCATTTCTTTCGTGAAAACATGGTAGAACCCTCAAAGTTATTGCATTGTGGGAAAAGCAACATCAACCCTTGTCAGCTTTGTTTAGAACTCTCTATTGAATGCACAAGCTTTCTGGTACCTAGATGAACTCTGTTTTGGTATGTCGTTTTAAATTTCTTTTTCTTCTTTGTGTAAATTGAAATATACTTAATATATATATATATATATATGCAGTTCTCATATTAATTCTAGATCAGTGTTTTGTCTCATTCCTGCACCCCACTTACATTGGAGTTTGGCCATTCAGTTTTGGATTCAATCCGGGAATATTATATGGTCACATGGATGTTGAGGGATATTATTGGAGATTTGTATTTTAACTATTGTTATTTTCTTTATTTATTATAATTAATATTTATTAAGAGTTATTTTATTAGTGGGTCTTTTAGGGTTGTAGAGTTTTAGCATAAATGTTGCTTTGTTAGAGTTCTTAAGAGGCTAAGAAACTAAGACGTTGAGATGTTTAGAAAGATTGAATGTGGCTTATTTATAGGGAGTGTGGCTCTAAGAATGCCAGTGAAATCCAATTGGGGTAAATAAAAATGGTGTATTTATGTGGTAGCCTAGCCTCCATTAAAAGTGATGTTTTTTGTGATTACAACAGATATTCCTCTTCGTTCTTGTGAAGGTACCAGCGTTGTCGAATCATCTGCAGTCGGAAAAGAGCCAAGGGGATTACTTTGGTCTCATCCTTGTTTCTGGTAAAAAGTAAAGTGTGACTATTTGTATTTAAGCAGCAAAATTTTCCTGTACATACATAAAGCAGATAAATCTTTGAAAGTATAATCTGTACAGTTTTTATCATCAGAAGTTGTCTTACACTGTATTAAAAATTATATTGGAACTTATATCCTAATGTTCTCCTCGCATATTCTTTCATAGAATTTTGTTTTTTTTTTCTTTTTACCCATGTCCTTAAAGTTCCTAAAAATTCGACCGGAAACATAACTAAGATAGAAATCAGATACTCGTGCTTTCTGATTTGAGTACCGATCAAGAAAATGTCACACGTGAGATATGCGCCTTGGTCCTTGGGGTTCTGGCTACGGGTTTCAATGGTGTTTGACAATTGAAACGTTTAAAAAGTCTAATGGTAAGTTGCCGACCAACTTGAAGAGGTAGGTTCATTACCAATCAGTTGTCTGTCAAGAGTCAAGATCAAACCCAGGAAAAAAACTGAACAGCTAGCATGCATTTTGAAAAATTAAAATTTAGCAAAATTGTAGACGTCAAAAAGGCTTATTGTACTGATAAGTTTGGCAATTTTGTCTTTATCTTTTGGTGGAAGGATCGTTGAATCTCTCTCATTGAAAAACTGCCTCCAATTTACAGTCCTTATATTCAATGAAAATGGACCCTCATTTAATCTTCTTCTTTTCTGTAGTTCTGAGAACAGCGAACGTCATTTCTACATTGCTTAGTCACCTCGAAACTTTCTTAAGCGGCTATCAAAGTAACATAATCCATGTCGAAGGAAGCAAAAGCTATCATGCACTGCAGATGGTTCCCTAATTCCCTTCCGTCTCCATTGTAACCCTAAAGTTTAATTTGTAATTACAGGCCGGCTGTACAAACTGGATATCCTATCCAATCCTATAACTTGGCCGAGAAAAACAAATTCCTTTGTCATGATAGCCGGATGTGACTGTTGTCTATTAGTTAAACCAAAATTCAACTCCTTTTAGATGCATAATTTCAAATTTTTTTTATTGTTAATGATAATTACAAAGCCTGGGTTGTCTATGATTTAAGAGGCTTATGTTTCCCTGTCAATGGGTGCAGCAGCTAAAGATAATTAAGAATTGGGGTCAGTGTAATTTTATATTTATATATTAGATGTCCCAATCCTCTATTTCTGTACTCCAAGTTCTAGTTTTTATTGTCAACAAGTAGGTAGCCATGTCAATTGTCATACCATATGATGAAATTCTATGGCATTAGATTGGCGTGCATTTCGCTCCTTATACTTGTTCCTCTTTCTAGCTACCCTTATCATGTTGATGTGATTATACATCTATATCTATATAAAATTAAACTACAAATGTAATCCTAACTGCATTTTCAAACCCTTTTCTGACACTACTAAAGTTTCGAACCCTTGACTACCGTAAATTTAAAGAACCGTGACTTAAGTCTAGTCTCTGAAATATTATTTACAGTGCGTATATATTTACAAATTTCACATGAAATTATTCACATTCTTTACAACTCTAAAACGAAATGTCAATGGAGGCCAAATGAAGGAGAAATGTATGTGGATTACCCACAAAATTAAATAGTCAGAAATAGTAGACCTGTGAAAATGAGAAGGAAAAAGAAAAAAACAAGCAAAAAACTAAAAGAAAGCCCTGGATCACATATATTTCAACCCTGCTCACCTGAAAGAGGCTGATGAATTATGTACATTAAGATCATTATGTAGCAATTTGATGATACTTTTCTAGTATTCCAATTATATATGGCGAGTAACCGAGTATTTTGGTTTATGGGAACAATCATTGGAGTTTTTTAAGTATCGGAATTACCCTTTTTTACTACAATAATATACATTATGACCTGCACGTAGCTAGACGAACTTAGAATTTAATTTACTACATAATAATACTAATTAAGAAACAAAGCTTGAATTAGTCTAGTGAGACCTGGTCATGGATTGTGGATACCGTGTCCCAAGTGTTGTTGCTTTTCTTGCTTACTCGTATGAAACGGCGACCCAGATTTAGATTTAGAATTGCAACGTGTATTTGAAAAGCTAGCTGGCTATATGTCGACTTATTGCTTTCCTGTTTATCTTTTTGTTAATTATAGTTGTTAACAAGAAAAAAGGGCACCCATTTTTGAGAAAAAAGATGATATCAATATCAGTAATCAGAGGATCATTCATTTGTTAATTGCTTGCGGCCTTTTTGCTATATGCATGCCTTGTTACTTAATACTGATTAAGTGTAAAGGTCCAATATTGGCAGTTTTCGTCTTTCATCAATTGCTAAAAGTCAGTTTAATCATTGGGCCATTGCCAGAAATGATGTGTAAAAATTGAACCATGCGAGGTCCTAAAAACCCTATATGAAACCAACCAAGTATATAAGGTTTTCTTCCAAGTGCATGAACTTTTTCTTTTTTTGTTTTTTGTCTGAACTTTGAATTAGTCTGTCTTTTTCACATTTCATGTTATGACAATGAAATTCATATTATTCATATATATATATATATATATATATATATATCGATATGATGCAAGTTGAATGAGCCAATGATAGGGCCCAGAAGTTCAAGGCTTCAGGGACGCTGCCGTTGACTTTCTTAATTGGTGTAATATCTCTTCATTTTAATATTCCTGCTCAAAAATCTTAATTTATGATTAAAAAGAGAAAGAAAAATAAATTTTTGTTCACATTTTACACTTTCTTGGCTTCAATTATATATTTAGCACAATTTTAAAGGCAAGAAAAGAGTATAAAAAGGGGGTTTGGAATGAAAACGAGAATAAGAAGAAGCGACACAAAGAAAGAGAGAGGGGAGAGGATTTATTATTTGAGAGAAAAACAAGATAAAAGTCCGAGCGACAAGTCTCTATTACTATTGTCCTGCTAGACCCAAGCGGGTTGTTTCCTCGCACTTTCTTCTCTCCTTCCCCGAACCTGGAAAACCTTAAAAAGTCAACATCAATATCTTCATCTAAGTATATAGCCTATTCAATCCAAAACAAATTGAAAGTGCAAAAGACAAGGAGTTATCGGATATGGGAAACTGCTTTGGAACTCAGGTTGATCATCATAGCCAATGCCCCACAAAACCCTCTAGCCCAGGTACGCATTCCCTGAAACTTTCTTTGGAATTTCCAGCAGGACCCCCGACAATTTTCTCGTTTAAGAAACTTTTGCCAGTAGTTTTTTAGACAACTGATCAGAAAATATATGAAAAACAAGATATGTCTGAAGTTATCTGTTTTCTTATGTGATTGATTACGCACATATGCAGAAGAAACGAAAAAACTGCAAGACAGCAAACAAAATGGACTGCCACCTGCAAGAAACAACGAGAGCGCTGGAGATCACGGGACTTCCAGGGAAGGAAGAAGCAGGGAGCAAGAGACAGTGCCCGCAAGTGGAAAGATTGTCAGCGCCACCTTAAAAATATTCACTTTAGCTGAACTCAAGGCATCCACCAGAAATTTCAGGCCTGATACGGTGCTAGGGGAGGGAGGTTTTGGTAGAGTCTTCAAGGGTTGGGTTGACGAGAAAACCTACGCTCCTTCAAAGGTTGGCGTTGGCATGGCTGTTGCCGTCAAGAAATCAAGTCCAGATAGCTCTCAAGGCTTGCAGGAATGGCAGGTATATTAATTAAAGTAAATTAATTTCAATTCTACTACCATCTCGGGAATGTTTCAAAATTTTCATTAAGATTTTAGAGTGGTGAGTTATTCCAATTTAACTTTGATAGTATAAACACCGGCCAGTACGGAGAATTAAAAGTGGTATTTTTTTTCAACTATACGGCGCCGTATATGTATACTTTTCTATATTTATTTTCTGGCCACAGCCCACTATGAAAACATTGTGGAAATTAAATTATAATTTGCCCTCATTTTTCTTCCAGTTGACTTAACCAAGATAACAATCCTGAATAATTTTCTTTGGAACCTATCATATGGGTGGAGAACTATTGTTTTTACGTATACATAACACTTAGTTTTTACCTATAGAAATGATCGATTTTCAACAGTCATCGTTTCAGTTGCATATATATGCATGATCCCATGCTGAACGTTGATATTGTGAATGATTAATTTGTGAGGTCAGGCAGAGGTTAAATTCTTGGGCAAGTTCTGCCATCCGAATCTCGTAAAGCTCTTGGGATACTGTTGGGAGGAGAACCAGTTCCTACTTGTCTATGAATACATGCAAAAGGGAAGCTTGGAAAACCACCTTTTCAGAAGTAAGTAATTAAGGAACACACCATGTCTTAAACTAGCTAGTTTTCGTCGGAATCTTGCTTCTTTTTATTTTGAGAGATTGGAGAAACTTAAGCGGTTTTATTAACTCAATGCCATTATATATATCATTCTACAGCAGGAGGAGCAGAACCTCTTACATGGGAAACGCGGCTTAAAATAGCCATCGGGGCTGCTCAAGGCTTGGCGTTTTTGCATACATCAGAGAAGAGTGTAATCTACAGAGACTTTAAAGCCTCAAATATTTTGCTGGATGGGGTAAAAGCTCCCCCTCCCTACATTTTTTATTGCTTAATTTTGAGTGTGTACTCATCTATCATATTCCCAGCAGTATAAATATATATATATATATATGAAGAGAGACAAATTTACATTAATATAATTCTTATATTTTTTTTTGAATTGTTAAATTAAAATTAAATTCATGACTCATTTGAACTAATATAATATTTAAATTTAATAATTTTAATTTAAAATTTCAAAAAAATATATAAGAGCTACACGATATATATATATATATATATATATGATGTAGTGTAAGCTTCCTATCAAACAAGTTCATTGCCTTACAATTTTGTTTGCCAGGCCTACAATGCAAAACTTTCAGACTTCGGGTTGGCAAAGTTGGGTCCAATAAATGGAAACTCGCATGTAACCACGAGGGTTGTGGGCACTTATGGTTATGCAGCTCCTGAATATGTCGCCACAGGTAATTAATTAGCAATCGATTCCTTTACATAGACAGACGTTTCTATTCCAAACTCCCCAGTCCCTCCCCTAATATTGTCATATAGCACTAAGTATATACTTTTTCCCTTTCGCCAATGGGGGTAGAGCCCTCCAGAAGATAATACTAAAGAGTAAGATAGAGATGGTTCAAACTTCAAACCTCTAAAAGTGGAATACACGAATACTCAACTTAAAGCTGAAATGATTATTCCATTATCCAATGTGCTACTAGTCCACTAGTAATATTAATTTAGTGGGTCTTTAACTAACTTGAATGTTTCTGAGTGGGTTCAATTAGTATATAATTAGCCTATTATAGATTTCATTTTAAAACAATTGTGTGATGAAACTTGTAAAACTATCATCTTTCATTTTTTCTGATTAGAATTTACGATCAAGAAGAGGGAAAAAGAAACACGAAAGACTGACATCTTATGCACACAAATTAATTTTAGGTCATTTGTATGTGAAAAGTGATGTATATGGTTTCGGAGTTGTGCTGTTGGAGATGTTAACGGGCCTAAGGGCCCTGGATACAAATCGTCCCAGCCGTGAGCACAATTTGGTGGAATGGGCCAAACATTCACTGACAGAGAAGAGAAAGCTCAAGAAAATAATGGACCGCAGGCTAGTAGAGCAATACCCACTCAAAGCTGCATTGCAAGCAGGCGAGCTTATTGTAAAGTGTCTGGAATCTGATCCCAAAAATCGTCCATCCATGGAAGAGGTGTTGGAGACGTTGCAAAAGATCAGTGCCATCAATGAAAAGCCTAAAGAGAGTAAAGCTAGCACATCTCAGCAAAAGTCTAAGCGCCAAGAGGAACAACAATGCCATCGGAACAACCATCGGTCTCCGGTTCATTCTAGGCACGGTGGTGCTGGCACTGGAACACGAAATACTCAACGCTCTTCCATAGCTAGGTCACACCGATAATTACAGTTCCAGAGATGTGCATGTGACATATTGTTATTATTCCCAGTCATGTAAGCTTAATTTCATAAAAAATTTTCCACTATTTTTTTGTAACTCTCTTTGGACTCATAGGCAGCTTAAGAATATGTATAATACATTACAGGTGTTACTTGAGGCCTAGTTTTATGCCAAAATCAAGAGCCTTTCTCTTTGTAACTTTATAATAATTAATCACAATGACAAATTTCCTGCCTTTAATCTCCAGGCAAACAATCACAGTTATTGGGCCTTACGCATCAGGGATTTACTTAATAACCGAAAAAAAAAAGTTTTGGATTATAAAGTTTGCGCATGTTCTTGGATTATTAAATTCTAAATATTATATAGTGATAAATGAATTATTAAGTTTAATGGCCATGGTCATTCAGTTGAAAAGCTGAAAGTGTGAATAGATTATACCAGGTGATTTCAACCCAATTATGATTAAAAGAGGTTAATCACAGTTTAGGAATATGATTCCACATGCTGCACGCTTTCCATTGCTGACCAACTTTTTAGAAGAATACTTTTATATGTGATCCGATGCCTATGGACTGTACATGAAGTTTGAAAGATATGGGTTGATATGATCGTCGTAGTGGGCTGGCTGATGGGGACCCATTAGTGGTAACTTAATACTGGCAGCACTGGGCGGCGCATTTCGTACTAATCATGATAATTTAATGAAGAATTGATGGCCCCATATATTATATTTAGAACGTAAGATTCCACCCCCCCCCCCACTGTTTTATCTGTAGTTTTCACCCCTCCTTCTGCGCTGAACTTTCATTACATAGGCGTGGCAGTTGTTCAGCATTCTCAGCAGGGAAACTTAGATTGTTTTGATTGGGTTCAGACTTCTAGGAGGCTTGTTCATATAGAAAAAGAAAGAATGAAATAATTGAACTTAAATTCCTAATCGAAGCCTTGAAGCTATGTAGCTCATAAAAGGATGTTGAAGTTACCCGAGAAATGAAGTATGCTTTTTAACAGAAACTTCTCCTTCCATTTATCTTGTTGGGAGAGGGATTAAAACTGTTTACTGACATTTTACATTTTCATGCTTGCATATCATTACATTTACATCAATTACCTATTGTTTATGCATATTTTAAATACAATCTTTCATGATCACTCTAAGTTTAATTTTGGAACTGCCATAATATTTCATGAAATGGATAGCATCTTTATCAGACAATTCAGTCAAATGTATCATCATAAAAAACGTTTCTTCAAATGAGTTTTATTTTTCATAACTGTAAATTAAATGATGAGCCCAAAAACATGAAAGCATTTACATTATGTTATGCTTTTTGGGTTTCGACAGAAACAATCATCGATGTGTAAGGACAGTTTGGACATTCAAGAATCAAGAAATAAATCACTGTGAAATAGCTTTGAGCACCAGAAACACACTTTTTGTATTGACAGCAGGCGCATCCCTTCCCATCCATCACAAAAACTTTTGAGCCCAGTTCTTGGATCTCTAGAAACTGCATTATGCAGAGTTCTGCAGAAAACAAACACATGATCTACACTTAACTCTCTAAAGACCACACCACATCATCCATCCCTACCTACCTAGACAAACAATCAATTATTAGGTCAGCTTCATACTAGGCCTTAACCTTTGCACTCTTTCTGATAGCACGCTTTACCGATCCAGATTAATTCCAGACCTAAATTTTTATGGGAATGGGACCATACCAATTTTAGTACTACTACTTATTTACTTTAATGTGACTTGATCAACAGTTTGGGCTCCGTATGAACAAAACTCAATACTAGTATTTCCTTGTGAGGAAAAAAAAGGCATAATAGAGATTGTATATAACCTTCCTCGTGTATATATATGGCTATGTAAGCAAAAATTGCAAAAGCAATTTGACCATTTGGCTCAAATCAATTGAATGTTAATTATACACCATGTCTTGCTAATTATTTTATTATTATATCCTTCTTATTTCTTAGAAATCAACTTGAATGCAATCATCAACAATGGGACAAAGATTAAGAGATATAAATTGTCAAAATCAGGGAGGAACCATTTTCTAGGCATGTTTCAACTTTCAACGCTACCAAAAGGCAAAAGCGGAACTGATTAAGGTGATCATCAAGTGGACTGCAAAGGAGCTGAACGCTTGAAAACGAAGGAAGGCTGCTGTCGCTCTTGAGAGGGAGAGCCTGCTTCTCCTGATTCATAACATCCAACCGCGATGGACGGGGCGCTATATTTTCGGCAGAGACCTGGATCTAACCCTGGGCCCCTTTAGTGAAGATTAATGGACCACATTTGCTGGGACATTTTTTCACCAAAAACAAACTGGAGTGCTTTCCAGTTTATATTTTTTCAGTTGAAACTAGAGACATATTGAGTAATTTATGAAGTCATATGCATTGAATTGAGCCATTTATTTCTTCTTCTTTTTTTCGGCCTAAATATCAAGAATCAAAATTTTAGATTTTCTAATGAGATGGTGGATGACATAGTATTGAATATTAGGTACGCTCGCTGTTTGGATATCGACCCAAATATGATAGTTTACTTTTGTATTTAGGAACATGCAATGCAAATATGATCATTATTGCATGCAAAATCAGGTAGTTTAGGATGAATTACCGACAATCTTTATTCACATTTGCATGTTAAATTATCATGTCAACATATTTTGAAATTTCTGAATATTTTTATTTTTTTAAAGATTTTGTGATAACCTGTTTTCTTTCTTGCATGTACCCTTTACCTATTTATTACGGCATGCCAGAAAAAAAAAAGTGATAGCGAGAAAGTGAACAAATCATTAAGCTTCAAAAATTAGTAACTGACTGCCAAATGCTAATAGTACATGACCAAACCACTGAAGTGTCGTTTCAAAGTTCCATTGTCCTCAAATTCACGTGGACTTCTCGAGCTAGGTTGCTCGCAGGCCACAAGCACTGGGCCACCAGCACTTCTAAGTCCTCAGGCAGTGCTCACACGCAACGCAATTGACGATCGGCATGGGAATTGGGACAGCCCAAAATAAGCAAAAGAATTATACGTACGTGAATCCACCTGGCAATTAGCACTTTTTGACTTTCCCTGTTTGAAAAGCATACTAATTTTTGTTGGAATCAGCTGCTTTTAACTGTGAGCATGTGAGTTGTTAGGGTATACTACTAATATCTTTTGAACGAGGGAGTGAGCTAAAGACGAAGTAGGCTATCGGAGTCGTCACTCGTTAACCTCCCCATGTCTATGTGGCGTGTGGGTAATTTGCATGATCGAGGCGTGGCGCCGAGGGTGATGATTACGTCAAATGAGTAGCAATCATTACGAAGAATGGGCTATCGAAGTTGCCCCTTGTGTCTGGGTTTTGTTTCTTTCTCTGAGCTGCCGCTGGTGTCCCTGGTGAGTCGTTGTGAATTGTGAGGTCTCGCTGAGGCTCTGGCCCCACGTCTAGAATCTCTTGCTCGAATTCGATGACTCCGCAGGGTCCCCACCGTCGCCCTCAGCATCATTAGTCCCACTCCCCATCGCCCAACTGCTCATTTCCCATTAACTTTGTCTCCTAAATACTGCTACCGGTAGCAAAATGCAGAGATACAAAAGCCTTCTTTCCCTAAAATGCCCACAATCATAGCTATGCCGGTCAAGCCCAGCAGTGCGTTCTTATGATCTGAAATGATGATGATGATATAAGGACTAATTTGACCAAATACTCTTCCGTAGACTGTCCTCAACCACAACCCGGAGCTGGGCCCTGATGCTAGTTACTAACTTACTATTTAATGTGTACATTCAATGAAATGATTTATGGCGGGGTGAACTTAGCCAATGACAATGAGTCATATTTACCCTTCTTTTTTCCCTGCTTTTATAGAAAGAAGAAGGAGAAATGGTTCAGAAGATTAAATAATGTGTAAATGAAAAAGTTGAAACTTCACTAAGGTGCCCCCACAAACGTCATCCACATCCCGAATGCTATAATGCTTCTAAGTTCTGAAATTTTGAGGTCATTGGTTCAATTTTATTTTAGATTTATTTAAATATTTATTAATTAATTAATTAAGAATTTTATTTAACATAAAAAATGTTATTTAATCACGATATACAACTCTTACCTCACTTATTGAATAAAGATAAAATAAAAAAATTTTGAGTTCGATCAGTGGGTTCTTTTTGATATATTTATTAACTTTTTTTTTTTAATTTATAACCATCAGAAAGATTTTTAAGGAAATTATTACATAACGATTGACAAGTTTAATACTAATAAATAGTAGTATTTAAGTATTTTAAAAAATTGTGATAAATTCATTGCTTGATAGCCATTAATTGAAATTTGAAGATATATTTTTGTTCAGTTAATTTTTCATGTTTATTATCTTAGCTGATTGATTTAATGTAGTATATATTAATTTTCAAGTCCTGTCTGCAATTTTAACTTTATTATATATAAGTATGTTTTTTTTTTTTTTTTGTGAAGAGTGCCGTTGAATTAAATAATATACTAGTTGAAAACGACGTTAATTAGTACGTAAAACATTTGATGGGTACATCATTCTGGGGTGAATTAAAGGCTGTTGACGGCAGGTAGGCAAATTACAGGAGAGTGATATAAAATTCTCTCAGCCCAGTGAGTGGTGAAAGAGAAAGACTCTTTTCCGTGGAAACGTAAGGGGGAGGAGAGTCATCCCCGTAATTGTTAACTGTAGCCATCTACGTTATAATAAAGACTAAAATAACAAAAAATTTCTTTATTTTATTATTTTATTTAAATAAATTTATAAATTTTTATTTTTATTTAAATAAATTCTTAACTTTTAATTTATATTTAAATAAACTCTCAATATAAATTAATATTTTATTTAAATAAATATTTATTTATATAAAAATAAAAATAAAATTTTATTTAAATATAATAAAAATATAAATTTTTATTTTAAAAAATAAAAAATTTGAGACATTTTTTAATATTTTAACCTAATATTAAGCTTAAAGAAAAAAATTGAGTTGCTTAAATTGAAACTAATTAACAAAATGAAAATAGAGAGAGAAGACAACAAATCGTGGAGACGGGTGTGGCTGTTTCAATAACCGTCTGTCTGTTTCCATCCTAGTTTTTCCCAATTTCATATATATATATATATATATATATACGGCTTTGGTTCTAATTAAATTATCGTGACTTTTTCATTATTTTTTAAACATTAATAGTAATTATTTTAAATATTTTAATTAATTAAATTACTTAAAATTATTTTATTTAAAGTTTTTAAAATATATATTTTTATTTTATTGATAATAAATATAAAATAATAAGAGATCACAATTTAAAAACTTTGATAAAAAATAATAATTTTATTGAGACAAAAGAAATATATTTGTAAGATGTTAAATAATTTTTATATGGCATTTTAAGTCCAACTTGACATATCTAAGACATCTAATAATGATCTTATCTAATATATACAATTTTATTTATGCATATTGTTATAATATATATATATATATATTATATAACAATATGTATAAATAAATTTGTTACATAGACATTTTTGTGGATAACTTTATAAATGATACATAAGATAGTTTCTCTTTTTAAAGATAATTTCTTTTAATTATAAATTAAATAATTTTAAAATTATTCAATTTATAATTGAAAATCAAACCAATTTAAATATATATTTTTTAAAATGAAAAATATGAAATATGTATTTTTTTAATAAATAATTTTAGTTCTTTATCAAATAATCTTATTTAAAAATTTATTTAATTATCAAAATCTTTCAAACATGTTTAAAAATTATAAAAATTAAGTTTATCCAAATCTTTTAACAATCTTTTTTATCTTGATTTAAAAATTATCTTTTTAAAAATTTTACATAACACATTAAAAATCCAAGCAATTTTATGTAAAATTTTGAAATTTCAAAAAAAATTCAGCTTATATTTTTAAATAATAAAATCATCAAAACTAACATATCCATTTGAATTCTAATTATTAAATTTATAGTTCAAATAAATGCAAACAATTTAATATTATCTTTATCACTTATTATATCCATTTTAAATTTTAAAATTTTAATTTATAAATTATCTATTTAATCATAATTACCACTAAAGAATTATTCTACAAATTTTATACTACAAATATAATGTGTCATACATCAAATATTTTATTTTTTTAGTAACTTTTTTCAATGTATATTTTATTACTATTGCATTTTTTTTTTTATAATTTTTTCCAATATATATTTTATTATCATTACAGTTTTATTCTTATGAAAAATAAGTTTGTTTGAATTTATATTTTTTATTTTTTCACATATTTTTTAACATTTTTCATATTTTGCATAATAATTTAGTTAGTATTACTAAAGTGAAAGTATGCTAATACTTCTTTTATTATTTAATTTATCATTTAATAATATATTTTTTATTTTTTTAAGAAAGCTATAATTTATTTTTATTTGATTTAATCTTACATGTGTATAAATATTATAAAAAAATCAAAAGGAAATACATAATTTTTCTTACTATTTTCAGAAAGTTTATTTTTTAATGATAAATCAATATATATATTTTTGTATATACTATGAGTTTTTAATATTTGAATATAATTAAAAAAAATTAATATATATTCACATTAAATAAGTAAATTTATTTGTGCATTGCACGGATTATAATTTAATTATTTCATAAAGCAAGTCCAAATAATCTTTTATCAGGATTAAATTGTTTCAAGATGAAGACAAAAATATCAAGATAACCTTTTGACACTTAATTTTACACATGTAATAGAGGTTTAGTGCTCCCTCATCCACTTCTCACCTAAATTCTAAAGCAAAACTACATATTTTTTGTTCTTAATTGGATTGAAACTATGCTTAATATCAAGGGTTTTAATATAAAAATTATTCCATCATATATTGTTCTAAATCTTTTTATCAATTCATCTTTCTATCAAGCGAAACTTTTTTTTATACTATATATTTACTATACCTTTAATGCGGCACCTTTGTACCAAGTATCACTAAGCTTTATTCAAATTAAATAATTAATTAAAGACAAAAGTTTAATGTGCTAGCCTAGGAATCAATTATTTTTCAAATTTTCATTAACTACATTTATGATATCGGGAATTGATATTTGAGATGTTGAAATTAGCTGCAAACAAAAAAACTCATAAAAAAGACAACTCACAATAAGTTGAATAATAACAGAATATGATTATTGGATTAAAAGGGATAAAAATTCATCACCAATACTATAAACTAAGGGATATAAAAATACCACCCTAAAAATTATAATCAATGATACAAAACAATAAAAATTCACCATTATAAGAAATCCATCTAAGAGATGTAAAACTTGAAAATAATCTAAAAAATTACTTAAAGATAAAGAAAACTCTATTTTGTAATTTACAAAAAAATAATAAAAAATATATAGACTAGGAACATCCTTCCAAACATGAAAACTTTCAGATTGTATTACTAAAATCATGCATAAAATCATGAGATTTGCATATGAACATAATTTACCCATTTACTCATTAACCTGAGCACAATTCCATTCATATCCATAATCTTATTTTTCAGTTAGTATGAACACAATCTCTTTATTTCAGCTCACTTTATTTATGTGTGAATTTGGACAAAGACTATGCTCATCTTATTTTTGAATAAATTTATCTTAATCTCAGCTTAAATTGTATAATATACAAATACTCCGATATCAATTTAGTTAAGTAGGTGGACAATTTGCACTTTATCATTATCCTATGATTATGATATATAAAATTATAATAAAATAATATTATAAATATAATTTAATTAAATAATATAATTTTATTTTATATTTTATATATATAACAATTAAAATAAAATAATTTATTTATTGATCAAAATTAATTTTTATAAAAATTTTATATAATTTAAATTGTTGATGTAATTTTTAAAGATATAATAAGATATATAAATTAATTTTATAAATTAAAAATAATTTTTTATTTTAAAAAATTAAAATATTCTATTGATATAAACTATCTCTTTTTTTTTTAATAATTTAATATTTTTATTTAAATACATAGTAAATATATAATAAAATAATTAATATATTATATTTTAACTAATCCTACGTGTCAACCTCAGATATATACATTCTACACATTCTAGAAGATATTATTCCAAGGCTAATGCTCCTGGCAATGCCATGTATTATATGCACGTGGCTACAAGATAGTTGCTGCTTTTTCCCTAGCCAAAACACCTTGATTTTTGTTCACACCGAAGCAAAGGTTTCCCATCTAAAATTTGGAGTTTTTTTTTTCTTCCTTCACGGATAGGAAGTTGATCTAATCAAGAAAATGTATATATTTTTTTTAAAGTACAGGGTATTGGGGGAGGGATAGGCTCGAAATAGTCTCGGTGTCCTTCTTTAGTACTCCTTGATCACTAGGGTAAGAGGAAAGGGGGGCACCAAGGAAATGTTTTGATTTAAGAAATTAATCTCCAAACTGTTTTGTATCTGGCCTTTTATATTCATCCAGAGATTAGCATTAAGGAAGGAAAACACCAAACCTCCTCAATTGCAAACTAGGAAAAGAAATAATTTGATTGAATAAATAGAAAAACTAATGTCCTAATAAAATTGAAGTGATGGATTAATAATTGGGTCATTTTCGCTCAACAACCTGCAGTAAATTCTTTTTGTGCGGTGGTCCACTACCAAAAAATGTACTAAAATGTAAAGCTTCTATGCGCTTCCAAACACCTATTTTTTCTTGTCAGAACCGCGTCGGAATCATACACATAATAGTTAGGGGGCGGCCAGTTCACACATTTTTCCTCTGGGCCCTACCAAATTAAGGCTCATTCCCCAAATCAAATCACTATCACTCCTCATCATTAATGATTATACCCCGTGACTTACCTTCATCGCCTCAATATACTGGTCAATTATTAGTGATTTTCCTTTTAACAAATTAGAACCAACCCGACAAATTCTTTTTTTTTTTTTTATAAATATGAAGGTAATTTTGTTTTTATATTTAAAAATTTAGGTGAAGTAAAAGTAAATCATTACAAAATCAGCAGTTATGGCAGATCTAACAAAAGATGAACATGAAGCCAACCGAACGTGAGGGTGTTGTCGTAAATACGAAGAATGCGTCTTCTCTCTAATCGTCCCTGGATTTAGTAACCTTTTTCTTTTTCCTCTTTTTTGGTCTCAGTAGGGATTTTAATTGAATTTAATTGCCCTGGAAAAGCGCAAGAGGATTCGAACAAACTGCTCAGAAACTATAAGTAGAGGGTTTCCTTTTTGACTGCTTCACTCAGCGGAACGGCTTCGCTTCAGCTTTATATATTCCGCTTTCCTCTCTCAAAATCGCAGTGCTGCAAAGCTTCCGCAAAATAGAAATGGACTTGTCTCGCCGAAGAATGGGGCTTACCTTAGGATTTCTTGCATTCATTTCTTTGTTTCAGGCAAGCGCCTCCGTCGCTTCGTCCTCTGCTTCTACCGTTCGATTTTACTTTCCTTTCTTTTCTTTGCTTTTCTTTTTCTGTTTACTTCTGACTTCTTTAGGCGTTTATTTTCTCTTATCATTTTGAAAGAAAATTTATGTCGCTTTCTTCCTTATTCGACGTTTCAATTTTGATAGGACTGAAAAAAGATTTCATTATTTTTATTTTGGTCAAAACTCGTAACGCTTCATTTGACCAAGTTTTTTTCCATTTTGAAAATTATAAACAAACCGAAGCTAGAAAATGTAGAATTCAAGTTATTTTTTCCCCGCTCTGCTTCTCTCATAAAATGAAGCTTAAAGGATTTTGTTTTTTTTTTTTTTTTTGAGTCATAATCTTTCATAAGAAGTGAAAAAGAATACAAAATAAATCATAATTAATCTGCATATTTTGTTTGTTCATAGCCAGGGAAGTCATGCGCAGTGTCATCGTGTCTGGCATTTCATTTTAGCTAAAGTTTTAAGAAAAAAAAAAGAAGAGAATAAGATTACAATTTTCCTTGTTAATTTCAGCTGAATTTGGAGTTTCCTGTGAGCAGGTTTTATTTATTATACCAGTGGTTTTTGCACAGACGACAAATGATGAACTAAGGTAAGATTATTTTTTATGCTTAACTGCTTCCTAAAAGAAGACAAATATAATAAATTTGAATTCAACTCAAAATTTATTGTTCTGATATGTAATTTAACGCGACTTAGGTAGTTATAATTGCGTTTCTAAAATATATTACTACTCTGAATGGAACTTTTTTTTTTCTCGTGGAGATTAACGGCCCAAATATTCGTGGTTGAATTTGGTCTTTCTGAGTTCTGACTACCTATGCAACAACAAATGACAAATGTTAATTTTCTTAATTTTGTTTAAAAATTGGTATATTATTATTATATTATTATTATTATTATATTTGTGTTTGTTATGTTTAGGCAGAGACATGCTGAAGGATATTGTTCAATGTATGACATTTGTGGAAATCGAAGTGATGGAAAAGTATTGAACTGTCCCTATGGTTCTCCAGCTGTAAAGGTAGGATTACTCGTAACTGTTTCACATAAATTTTGTACTGATTGCATGGTTAATAATAGTAATTTTTATCAAGTTCTGACCGTCTCTTATGATATGAACTTTGATATGATATCAAGTTCTGACCGTCTCTTATGATATGGTCAATAATACTAATTTGCCCCATTTCCTCAATTTTTTTTTTCTTTTTAACTTTTAAGAACTTTGAAAAATCAGCTATGAGTTATAACTGTATTTTTCTGACATTTACATCTTATTATGCTTCTCAGCCAGATGAGTTACTTTCATCGAAGATTCAAAGTTTGTGCCCAACAATTACTGGAAATGTTTGTTGTACAGGAGCTCAATTTGACACACTGCGGGCACAAGTCCAGCAAGTAAGATTTATTGCTGAACTCTACTATTGGTATGGTAGCTTGCATTATGAGACATTTATTTTCTTAGGGTGAGATGGAATGATTACTGCTTTGCTTATGCCAGGTGTGGTATTTGAGTTCATTAGATCGTTATTTGGCATTATTCCCTTTTCTCTTCATATCTCCTAATTGATTTTATGACTGTATATGCCCTTCTAGTTTGATCAGAATTATAAAATTGTTACTTACCTAGGAACTTTATGTCAATCTCATGCTTTGAATCTTTCTTAGAAATCTTTTATTTTTTTGTCCTTGTTCTCTTTTATGTTTTGAGCCAATTGATCACTTGTTTTCTGTTTCCTTTTGAACATGGGGGCTTTTCTGTCGGTTCTGATCAATTGGAGGTCGTCAATTGCAAGTTCCTTAATTTCTTCTTTTTGTAATATGATTGATTTCAATTTGTAATTATTGCAGGCAATTCCTTTCCTTGTAGGCTGTCCAGCTTGCTTGAGAAACTTTTTGAATTTGTTTTGTGAGCTTTCATGCTCCCCAAACCAAAGTTTATTCATCAATGTGACTTCTGTATCCAAGGTCAGGAATCCTGACTTACCCTCTATGATCTTGTTGTAAGAGAAGTTGATATCTTGTCATATGACTGGATTTGTGTCTGCCTTCTAAACACTTGGCAATGATATCTTTCGTCCTATTGCCATTTCAACTATTATTGTGATAGATGTGAATCAGAATTCACTATCAATACACTATATCTTAAGCCTGTTCATTCAAACAGGTGATCATGCACTTCTCATAAGGGACATAGTTATTTATATCAAAGAAAATAAATTACTTAGGATATCTTATTCTCTTTGCAGGTCAGAAACAACTTGACTGTGGACGGAATTGACTTTTACATAACTGATGCATTTGGTGAGGGGTTGTATGAATCTTGCAAGGATGTCAAGTTTGGTACCATGAATACTCGTGCCATAGAATTTATTGGTTTTGGTGCTAAAAATTTTAAAGGTGAATTGTTAGTTCTAAGTTTGTATTATAAGATTTTATAGGCATGTCAATCTCAATACCTTCCTGATTGGTTCTGGCAGAGTGGTTTGCTTTCATTGGTAAGCGAGCAGTTCTTAACATGCCTGGTTCACCATATGGGATTCAATTCCTTCCAACCGTTCCTGAATCATCTGGGATGAAACCTATGAATGTATCTACTTATTCATGTAGAGATGTTTCACTGGGCTGCTCTTGTGGTGATTGCCCTTCATCTCCTGTCTGTTCCAATACAGCTATGTCTTCTTACCATAAAGGGGCTACATGTTTACTTCGAATTGGATCTCTTAAGGGGCCGTGAGGGATTGCATTATTTCGATTTTTAGCTGTTTTGCCAGATGCAAATTCCTTAAGGCATATTAGCATGCAGTTGGTTTCCTAATTTGAGCTACAATACAGGTTTTGCTAACTTAGTTTCAATGTTGAAAATCTGCAGGCCAAATGTGTTGACTTAGCTTTAGCAATCCTCTATATTGTATTGATTTCTATGTTTTTTGGATGGGGCTTGTTTCATCGGACAAGAAAAAGGAGCAGGTCTTTTCGAATGAAACCATTTTTGGGTACAGCCCATGGTGTTGATTCTCATTCTATTAATAGGCCAAAAGCTGAGAACCTCCCCATGCAGGTGCTGTCTTCTTTTTCTTTGTGCTGATCTTCTTGGATCTCATTCTATTTCATACTTGATCTTCTTTGTTAGACTGTTGCATTCATGTATGGGTTGGAACTTTACGAAATTTTATTCTTGTTCCACAATCTTTCTCTTGGATTATTTTCACTTTGTTTTCCTTTTTCTTTTCTTCTACTTTTTATAAGTGTAGTTATATGCTTTTCCTGCTAAATAATTTGTCACATGATTGGTATCAGAGGCTAGAAGATGCTAATCAAAGTAGCACTGGGGTTCAACTTTCTATTGTGCAAGGATACATGTCAAACTTTTACAGGTTAACTGTCCATGTCTTTAAGGCTTAGATCACTTGAGCACAGAAGTCTGTAATTTTGTGCTAACATACTTATGTTCAGGAAATATGGACTGTGGGTTGCTAGAAATCCAACCCTTGTATTGAGTTTGTCAGTGGGAATGATTCTTCTACTTTGCTTGGGTCTAATCCGTTTCAAGGTGGAAACACGACCAGCGAAGGTATTATTTGACTGCTAAGTAGCTTGGTGTATCTTTATATAAACTGAACCTCTCTATACTTGTGCATCATTGCACATCCTTTTGAGCTATAAATAACTACCTATGATCAATCATTTCTTTTTCCATACAAGGAGGGTAGTAATCTTGGTTGATTCGATATAAAATTAATCCACAGAATTTATTATGTTTTGTTAGTTCAAATTATATACATAAAACATTCAAGTTGCCATGGTTGATCCACTGGCAATCATCCCGGGCTTCTATTCACTTGCATGAGATATCAGTTAGATGATCTCTTTTATAATGTTTAGATGCATTCTCCAGCTAACATATAGGTCTTGACTCCTGAGACACTAGTGTGCTTTCTTTATTTTCATGCACCCAGCCCATGTTCTATACTGTTTTCCCCTAATGAGACTTTTGCTCCTTTTTCTTGTTTCTTGTATCTGAAATTTTTATAGTTTCTGTTCTATGTTCAAATATAGCGTGTTGCATTTGTTTTGATTGGATGTTTACAATTCAGATCTTGTCCTACTTAATTTTATCAAAGACTCCAACAAAGCTTTGCTGCCCCACTTAACTAGAATGTTCATAATTATCTGTCAAGGATTTTCAGATTAGAGAATTGACTTTGATGTTCTTCTGATTGCATGCTTCTTTTGTTACATTTTTCTTTATCTGAATATCTGTTGCCAAACAATGTCAGCTATGGGTAGGACCTGGGAGTAAAGCTGCAGAAGAGAAACGTTTTTTTGACAGCCACCTATCTCCTTTTTACAGAATTGAGCAGGTTTTGCCCTATTGCATTCTATTTTTTTCCTTGTTTATCATTTTATCTGGTTCCCCTGTGGTTGATTGCTGGTACGAGGGTGAACATGATAGAATAATTCTGAGGTCAATGTCTGCTCAGTAAACTTTTCTTGTTGTATAACATGCCATTTTGCGACTTTTAATTGTTTTTTGTTTTGTACATGCATTTTTGGAGTAAAATGTTCCTGCTAAATTATTTTGGGAGTGTATTCTTGTTTCCTTAAGGGTTCTACCTTCAGTCAACAATATAATTTCCATATTTAATAGCACTTATTTGACATTTATTTATCTTTTCCTCTCTCCTTTTCCTGTCTATTCAAATCAACTTTGTTTGTATAACTCTCTTCCTCATAGCAACATTTTCTCACATTCTTTTCTTTCTCTAGTCCGTGATTCAAGAATGGGACGTTATATAAGAACTGGTGGTTGTAATTCCTCTCTATTTGATTGAGCAACGAATTTGTTTTCATAGCTGCTTGTCTTACTCTATTACTTTTGAATTACTAACATTACCTATGTTTTTCAGCTAATATTAGCAACAATTCCAGATGCCTTGCATGGTAAATCACCCAGCATTATGACAGAGGAAAACATCAAGTTGTTATTTGAAATTCAAAAGAAGGTATTGGTTCTACTTTAATTTATCAGGTTGGAATACATATGTTATACGCAGTGCAATCTGATTTATAATCGTTTGTACTTTTATAGTGCCTTCTCTTTGAAAGGTCTTGCTTAAAACACTTTTAGTTTACTTAACAGGTTGATGGAATCCAGGCAAATTATTCTGGCTCAATGATATCTTTGACAGATATTTGCATGAAGCCAATGGGACAGGATTGTGCCACACAAAGTGTTATACAGGTAGCATGCTAGTCCTGTGTCTGCAATTGACTGAAGCATATAAATTACCAATTGAAATGTAAAAGTGTGGAGGTGGAACTGATGAATTGTTTATCTTCATGGACCTTTGAATCTCAACAGAAAAACTATGTGCTTCGTATTTCTACATATGGACAATTAGTTTCCTTTTTGTATGCATATTTTAGTATTGAAAAAAAAAAATTCTGATGTGGATATCTTAATGGTTTGTTACTGTTATAATAATCCATGCTTCTTTTGTACTTAAATAATACATGGACTTAGCCTGGTTTTCTTCTCTTCCACCTTCTGCATTTGTTTTAACACTCTTGTTATACTTTTGACATCTCTCTGACATAGACGATTCTATCTGCTATTTTCATTGTCTTTTATATTTCAAGACTAAGTAACTCATCATTGAATGGCTGGAACACCTTAGAAATTCTTTCCTTTCTGATCTTTTTTATTTTTATTTTTATATTACTGTGTTTCTCTTGATAGTATTTCAAAATGGATCCAAGCTTTGATGCTGATGATCGGCTGGAACATGTGAACTATTGTTTACAGGTATATCCTAATACATCCTTGTTTATGTGGTTTAAAGTTAATCACTTTCTTTAGTTTTCTATGTATAAGGTTAAATAAAAATTTGATTGATCATTTGATATAATTGACATGCTTAGTGTGCAACTGTTGAGTTTTAGACTTAGGATTTGAAAAAAAAAAAAGGGGCGAACCACAGTATAAGCTAATAACTATAGCACTAATAACCAACTCATCACTTTGGATTAGCTGGATCCAAAGAATCGGTCAAGGTATGATATATTGGTCATATCATTATGGCAAGTGAAATCATTTTTTTTTTCCATGAAGTTAAGTAAAAGTAAAAAACCAATTTGATTATGAATATATCTAACTTGTGAAGCAAAATAAAAGAAATATGTGGATAAATAGAACAATGAGAGAAAGAGAGAAAAAGAAATAGCAATGAAATGATATATGATTCCGATATGTAAGGTATGTGAAGCATCTTATAAAGAGCAATGTAAGAGAACATCAATAGAGCCTCTATTATAAGCATGTTCAAGCTATAGATCCTGACAATAAGAATTAGAATATTGATTCTTTTCTTTTTTGTCTCACATTTATTTCTCTTATTCACTCTCAATCTTTTGTCACTTGAATTGACCTTTTAATGTTACATTCTATGTATTCTCTCAGCATTATACCTCTGCAGAGTCGTGTATGAGTGCTTTTAAAGCCCCGCTAGATCCAAGCACTGTATTAGGAGGTTTCTTTGGGAGCAACTATACTGAGGTAATTTTACTTTTCTGAGATGCCAATGCTGTCAGATCATTGGATGTAGTAACCTAAAATGATCTTTATCATGCAGGCTTCCGCATTTATAGTTACTTATCCAGTCAACAATGCTCTTGATAAAGAAGGGAATGAAACTCAAAAGGTAGTTGCTTGGGAGAAGGCCTTTATTCAAGTAGCAAAGGTTTGGTACCTGTACCTGCATCATATCAATGATTTTTTATTGTCTTGCAATTGTCCTTGTCTTGGCATTTCTGATATAAGGGAGTTTCACATGCAATGCTATGCTATGGAACAGGATGAGTTGTTGCCTATGGTTCAATCTAAAAATTTGACATTTTCTTTTTCATCGGAAAGCTCCATTGAGGAAGAGTTGAAAAGGGAAAGCACAGCGGATGTCATAACCATATTGGTAGGTGTTTTTCTTTATTATGGTGTGAAAACTTGATATTTGAGTCCTGCATGGAGAAGCCTAACCTTTGTGATTAATAAAATTTCTAAGAAGCCTGCCACTAATCTTTGTTTTAAAATAAAATTATTTTCCTTTTAAATATGTTTTTTTCATTGGAAGTTCTCTCACACTGCTTTCTTGTGTCTGCTGCCTTCTTTTATTGCAGATAAGCTATCTTGTGATGTTTGCTTACATATCTCTGACCTTGGGCGATACACCTCGATTATCTTCTTTTTACATTTCATCTAAGGTATCTCATTCATGATTCTTGTTTGCAGAAACTATTCTCTATTTTGAAGTATTATTATTACTACCTTCTGTTCTCGTTTTGGGTGTGTATTCTTGGACCTTCACCTAGTATCCTAAGTTTTTCTTTGAGGGTTTTAGACATTGATATTGAAACTTATCTGATCAAGTAGTCCAGATTTCAGTTCCAGACTGTTTCTATGCTGTTAAATTTTATAAGTTTCAACCCCTGTGGGATTGTGCCTAATGGGGTGTACTTGTGAATGAAACTATTCTTGGACTCTCACATAACAGCTTAAGCGTTTAGGTTGGCTGATTCTTGACATATTTAACTTCACGAGGTTATAGTAACAGTAAAAAATGCACTTTCACTTTTTAACAACTTTTGAGGTTACCCTTACTTGGTATTTGCTTTTAGCAACAATAGACTTTTCTAGTTATGTAGTGGACTAACATTGATATATCTCAGAAAGGAAAGCACAAAGCAAATGAGACAGAGTGGTTATATTTTTAGAAATCCAACCTATTGGAATTAAACCTTTCCTAGACCCTTTTTTATATCTTATTTCCAAGTTACAAAAACTTCTTTTAAACCTTGCTTTTTACGTAAACAAAAGTGTGGATATTCATGCTTTCAAGGGTCTATCTCAAATAAACGAGCTTCTCTTGGTTTTGAAAGTTTAGGGTACTTCGACTGCCATAGTTGGGTTAACAAGATCGAAAGTGCCCTGCCAGGGGTTGGATTTGAATGTTTAAAATATTTGTGGTACTTATCTTCATTGTTTGTTTATTGTATGATTGATTGAATTCCAGGTATTGCTTGGCCTTTCTGGTGTTCTGCTTGTCATGGTCTCAGTTCTTGGATCAGTAGGATTTTTCAGTGCTATTGGAGTAAAATCTACACTAATCATAATGGAAGTTATTCCTTTTCTGGTTCTTGCAGTAAGTGCCCTACTTCTTTAGCATTTTTCAAATTGCATATGATGTTTTTGCAAATTTTGCAACTCTCATGTTCTTGACGTGGAGGATCTTTAATAGTATAATGACATTAAGCCTTTTGTCTGCCATGTTCCATCTCTTCTGATCTCTTTTTCTTGTAACAGGTTGGAGTGGATAATATGTGCATCTTGGTTCATGCTGTTAAGCGGCAACCTTTGGACTTACCTCTAGAAGGAAGGATAAGCAATGCACTTGTTGAAGTTGGACCATCTATAACCCTTGCCAGTCTATCTGAAGTTTTAGCATTTGCGGTTGGAAGTTTCATTCCTATGCCAGCCTGCCGAGTTTTCTCCATGTTTGCAGGTCTATATTCTATTGGTATACATGGAAAAATGATTTTCTTTTATGTCACTTCTGTCATCCCCCTCACATCCATGCATTCTATTGCAGCACTGGCCATTCTATTGGACTTCCTTCTGCAGGTCACTGCTTTTGTTTCTTTGATAGTTTTTGACTTTTTGCGAGCTGAAGGTAGAAGAGTTGATTGTTTTCCATGTATAAAAGTATCATCAACATATGCTGAATCTACGATAGGTATAAATTATAATTGGTGGAGTTGTATCATTGATGAATCATGCAATATAATTCTTTTGATGCATTATCTTGGCTATTTGTTTCAGATTTAAAAGTAGAACTAATTTCATAGTCATTCAATACTTTGAATCCTCTCTCTCATTTATTTTAAAGCTGTCATGAAGTCTTAACAAAGGATTTTTATGAAAGTTTAGGCATTGGTGGGAGAAAACCTGGGCTACTGGCTCGATATATGAAGGTAATTGTTTTTTTACCTTCTTTAGAACTCAAGTAATTTGTATTTGCCAACTGTTAAAGAGCTGATTTCTATTTTTTTTTATTTGACAATTTTCATGCATTTTGCTTATTAGTTGTTTTTTTCTTTTTCACTTTTAGGAGGTGCATGCACCCATTCTCAATCTTTGGGGAGTGAAAATCATAGTTGTTTCTGCTTTTGTTGCTTTTTCACTGGCTAGTATTGTAAGTTGCGTTAGCTTTGTTTAGTCGATCTATGTGATCTGCTTTTGCCTATCACTTGAACTAAACTTCTTAGCTTGCAAAATTGGTAGGCATTGTCCACCCGAATTGAGCCTGGTTTGGAGCAAAAGATTGTTCTTCCCCAAGATTCATATCTTCAGGTTCTTTTTTTTTTGTGTTATCTTTTTCCTAAATGGAGAACTGAATCAATGATGTCCTCTTTTATCAGTGTGTCATTGCTGCATTTTATTCCTGCAGGGCTATTTCAATAATGTTTCAGAGTATCTCAGAATTGGACCGCCACTGTATTTTGTTGTGAAGAACTATAATTATAGGTATTTCCATGTTATTTCTACTTTCTTTTCATCTTCAGTTTACTACATGGTATCTGCTTCTGTTTGCTTCAAAGGATGTTTACCTTGTCCAAAGCATGTAGAGACATTCACCTCTGCTTTTAGTATTGGTTGTTTTGTCATTCTTGTATCATTGCCTGGGAACATGATGAACCTTGTGCATAGACAGAATCTTCAACACCATAAATGACATAACTTATTATTGGCTCTTCTAGAAGCTGAGTTTTTTTTTTTTTTTCCTAAAATTTATATTGAATAATTATCAACTTCTGAACAAGAACATGATATAATATAAGATACAGTTATTTTCTTCTGAAAAAAAAGGAACTACTAATGGCAGAAAACTGCCATTTTAGGCTTAAGAGTCTATCAGAGCTTCATGTTAATATTCTTCAAAGTGTTATACATAACAAAAGCTGTTATTTCTTATTATTTAAGAAGTTGAAACTTGCTTTCCAAGAAGTATGTGAAGCTTTATTGCTTTCTCAAACAAAAAAGATGGAGTTATTCAAGTTTTCGTCGAGTTGATTTTGTTGATACATGCTGATGTTTTTCTATCCCTCAGTTCAGAATCAATAGATACGAACCAGCTGTGCTCCATTAGCCAATGTAGTTCAGACTCTCTTTTAAATGAGGTAACATTATTTTGTAAATTCCATCTCTTGAGTGTTCATTCATGATATTATATTTTTCTTAATGAACCATACTCTTTTGTTCAGTTCGAAGCATGTTTACATTTCTAAGAGTGATTTTCAACAAATCTATGCCTCTCGCTTCTTCTCACCCTCAGTTGTTGCTATATGGACTTCATTTAATATGGTTATTTTCCCTGGCTGTGACTGTAGATAGCAAGAGCATCCTTGACACCAGAATCAAGTTATATTGCTAGGCCAGCTGCTTCATGGCTTGATGATTTTCTTGTATGGATATCTCCAGAAGCATTTAGTTGCTGTCGAAAGTTTACTAACGGGACTTATTGTCCCCCTGATGATCAGGTTATGATCCTATTATTCTTGGTACTTATTGTTAGATTTAATGTAATACACCCCTGATGATATGCTAAAGTATTTCATTTCCTAATAATGAAATACTGGGCCTCTATTTTGCTTGCGAAAAAAAACCACTTGAACCTCAAAAATTGCGAGTTTCTTTAAAGACGTTATACTTCTATAATAGGTTAAATGATTTTTGGTTTTAAAATTATGTATCTAATTTCAAGACCATGGATTTAATTCCTTTACAGCTTAGCATTTCTGGTAATGGTGCCTCCATTATTGAGTGGAATAACCAGATATCTCCATTTTCCCTCTTAACACTTAGCCATGCTTAACAGTTATCATTTGTAAGATGGCAATGAATTCATTATCCTTGCTCTGATATCACCCATGGACATCTAAGCCACATTAGCTTGAATTTTTCCAATATGTTGGACTATTCACTATTGGTAATTGTAATGCTTTTGTGTTCACTGAACTTAATATTCTTTCTTCCAGCCTCCTTGCTGCTCTGCCAACAATGGTCCTTGTGGGCTGAGTGAAGTCTGCAAAGATTGCACCATGGTAATCTACACTCTTATATTCTGCCTGATATTTAGCGCTGCAGTAGAACTTATCAACGTGAAATTAAGCAGTTCTGGTGATTAACCATTAATGGGATGTTTCAGTGCTTCCATCACTCAGATTTACATAATGATCGCCCATCTACAGCCCAGTTTAAGGAGAAACTTCCATGGTTCCTCGATGCTTTGCCCTCTGCAGATTGTTCTAAAGGTGGACATGGTGCTTATACTAGCAGTGTGGAACTGAAAGGTTTGTAAGAATGGATCTTTTGTTCCTATTCACACCCAAATTTCCATTTGTAGGCAACTTTCACTTGCCTATTTTACTTTGAGATAGCATCCACAGATAATATGAATTTGGCAATGACTACTTCTATTTTTGTTATCAGGCTATGAAAATGGTGTTATTCAGGCATCATCATTCCGTACCTACCATACACCCCTCAATAAGCAGGTAGAACTAATACTCATGTGGTGGTCATTGTTAATTATTATTTCTTGCCTTTCTTATTTTTTATGGCAGCAACTTGCACCCTTAATTGGTTGTGGATTGTTTTAGATTGATTATGTTAACTCAATGAGAGCTGCTCGACAATTTGCTTCAAGGGTTTCAGATTCTTTAAAGGTAAGATATCAATGTTGATTAAATGATTTAGCTCTTATTTTACTTTAGTAGAAAAACATGATCTTTCTGCTTAATTGGGTACTTTATCTTTCTTTTCTTGTGCAGTATGTTCATGTAAGCTTTTGCATGGCACAAGTTGTTAGTCTTCATCATGCAACTTTATGATCCTCATCAATTCTCCTACATCAGCATTGCATGAGAACTTGTTGATCTTTGAATATGGTTGCAAAATTAGCTGTATGCTGGTGATGTGATAATGTCTGTCTTTAACCTTACCTTTTTCTGGTGCAGATGGAAATTTTCCCATATTCTGTGTTTTACATGTTCTTTGAGCAATACCTAGATATATGGAGAACTGCTCTGATCAACCTCGCAATAGCTATTGGTTAGTAATTTGCAGAAATTTACTAAAAAAGTGCCATAATACAAACATTTTTTCCATGAAGCTTTTCTGGTACACGTGTAATGATTCAAAAAGATGATTACCAAAATTTAAGAGTAGATTGAAATATCTCTACTGATGTTATTATGCCGAGGCCTTGTCATTTTGTAGTTATTTCTAATTGTCAATTGCATTTTGGTTGCCGCCAGGTGCTGTGTTTATTGTTTGTTTAGTTATTACATGCAGGTTAGCTTTCTAATTTTGTCCCTTGATTTAAATTAAATTCTAATGTGAAGTGATGGATTCAATGATTCCAAAATACTAATCACTCGACATTCCCCCCCTCCAAATATAGTTTGTGGAGCTCAGCGATCATTTTGCTGGTGTTGGCAATGATTGTCATTGATCTTATGGTATTTATTCTATGACAGTTACCACAGAACTTTTCATTTGAATTAAATTTACTTTGGTGTTCTATTTGCATATGTTATATCCTCTTACAAGATATAAATCTTCAGGGTGTGATGGCAGTTCTCCGAATCCAACTGAATGCAGTCTCCGTCGTTAATCTTGTTATGGCATCGGGCATTGCTGTTGAGTTCTGCGTGCATATAACACATGCTTTTTCAGTTAGTATCAATCAGCTTTCCATTTAATCTTGGTTTTTGGCCTTTTTAATCAATTGTATGCATCCCCTCATCCTCCCCCCCCCCCCCCCCCCCCCCCCCACAATCGTTATTATGCTGTACGTGTTTTTGCTACTATACGCTTGCAAGTTTCTTTTTCAGGTAAGCAGCGGGGATAAAGATGAAAGGGTTAAAGAGGCTCTGGGTACGATGGGAGCTTCTGTCTTCAGGTTCTTTTCTTCTCTCATAAGCCCCACCTCCACTCCATTCCCCTTTATGTTGAGGTGATAAATGAAAAAGAAAACACCATCTTTGAGTCATCTGTCCTTCTAAACTGTGATCATCTGATGTTAATTGTCGCAGTGGAATCACACTGACAAAGCTAGTCGGCGTGCTGGTTCTTTGCTTCTCAAGGACACAAGTTTTTGTGGTCTCTGTTCCTACACCGACTTATCAATTATGGGGGCATTCATTTTACAATGATTTTAATTCTTTATTCTCTTGCTTTTTGTAGGTGTATTACTTCCAGATGTACTTAGCGTTAGTCCTTCTCGGTTTCTTTCATGGACTAGTATTTTTGCCGGTAAGCCAATTAATGATTACATACTATATTATTTTCGTTTTTATGGAGGGCAAATGAAATAATCAACAACCAGCATGTTTACTTCCAAAGGAAAAGCATTAACCATCTGTTTTCAGGTGATGTTGAACATGTTTGGTCCACCGTCGAGATGTGTGAAAATTGAGAAGCAAGAAGAGCGGCCTTCAGTTTCATCGCAGCCCTAATTTGATGATTTTCACAAAATACCTAACTCTTTTTGTAGAGAGTTAAAATTCTCTTTCTGACTTTCCGATATATAAACTGCGTGTATAACCAGAGCGACGGTAAAAAAAAAAAAAAAAATTTCCGTCCCAACATGTAAAGCATTGTTTAGAGAAAGAAAGGAGGGGAAAAAAAAAGAACAGGAAAATGATGGAGCCCGTTTCATGTTGTTGTCAATATTCTTAAGGTAGCTGATTCATCTAATCTGGTTAAAACTTAGGATAGAATGATGATAGTTGCTATATTTATGTAGAAGATGGTTGTATCTTGTTGGACATTTTCTGAAGACGCACAGAATTTGACCCGGTCTTATGCTATGTTATCTTTGTTTCTTTATTTATTTTTTAATCCCAATTTTCGTTATTTTAAATTATTCTGGAGCGGGATGATTTATGTGGCTTCTGTAGAACACAAACCAACGTTTTGGTGAAACACTTACACTTTGCATTTGCCACTTAGAGGAACCCTTGAATTAGAGTCGGCTGCGGAAAGAAAAATTGCAGATATATATATATATATATATATATATATGTAGGCAGAAAGAATATCTAAAAATAGATCAAATAAATTTGAAAAGACACCACCGAAAATGAAAATGCTCTATTTTCATCCCCTGGGATGAGATCGATGTGAATTATAGGAAATGAGAAGCAGAAAAGAAAGCTCAATTTTGCAGTAATAAACACAACAAACTGCAAGAACCAGTTCAAAACACTTTCTCTCTAATGCTTAGGAAAGTGAGTTAAGATAAAAAAGTCCCCACCTGAAATTTAGCATTCCATAGGCCGCAAACTTTTACCTATCATCCTGGTGTAAAATAAAACTTGGATTTCTCTAGCTTCATGGTCATTAGTCACCATTGCAGTGCACATGGAAAAGAAAGCTAACAGAAAATATATCCATTTATCTTCATAGGATATAAAAAATGAATCAAATTTTGGGGGAATCTCATCTTTATGGAGTACTATTGTTATTATTATTGTTCTATTTTGACATATCAGTTTTTACTGCTCTAGTCATGACTAAATATACAGCAAATCTCATCCACAAGGAGAAAGAGATTACATTCCAAGTGCACCAACTACATGCACTTAACCTCTACCACAGTAACAGAAAGGTAGCTTTAAGATGGCTTTCATGGTATTGGATGAACCTTTTAACCTTAAAACCACCTTCGGCTCCAGCATCTATTGTCCCATGCAGAAAATAGTCAACAACATCACTTCTCTGAATCCTTTGACAACTACTTCCTTCGAAATTTCTCTATGATCCTTTTATTTAACTTCTTCTGCTAGACGAAGAAACGATTGTTTCCTTCAGCACTGCATCCAAAGGTGTTACTGTCACTGTGGAACATTAAGATTTCTGTTCTCAAAAACATTGCTTTACAGATTGCTGCCAGGATCTCTTTCTCATAACTCACACAGCAAGATTAGAGCCAAAATCTGAATCAATAAGAGAAGGCATTCATATCAGTAGTACCTGTTGATACTAAAACTTTAGATCATGGTGGACCAGTGCTACCTGAAGACCGGTCCAAATGGCTATGAGAAACTTGCAATGCAAGTCTAATTGTGTTGCCCTGAGATGACTGACATACATCAATACACTCCAAATCAGCATCAAATGTTAATAAGACCCATTCAGAATCATCATCTAAGTACTTGAGATCAAATCTACTTATATCATCTATATTAAATCGTCTTCTAATTTCATGCAATAAATCTCTAAACCGCCATTTACTCCGCATGCGGAAACGGATCTTCTCATCTCCATATGTGACCTTTACTCTTTGAGCATCCAAATCTTGAACAATCTGGACAGTATTATCCGATATGGGTTGAAGACTGTCAGAAATAAGCTGTACCTTAAGAGATCTAACGCTCTGAGATCTTGGGAACAGCTTTGGTCCTTCTTGACTTAAGGAATGCAGTTCTACAGCACTTCCGACCCTTTTCAGCTCACCATCCCCACCGCTCTCTCCAATTATAAGATCTTCATTACCTGAAATGTTAAATGCCGAAGGTTTACGTGTTTCACTGGAACAGCAATGACTTGAACTGGAACTCTGACAACAAGAGGAGGAAGGCGAATTTGAAGTAGCAGCTTGGGGCAGGAAATTACCCCCTGCGGGCTGTTTGTTTGTTTGCTTTGACAGATCATTCAGCCTTGAGTTTGCTAATGTACTGATTCCTGATAATTTTGGAGAGGCCAGCTCTGGAAAGTTTGCATAGAAGGCATTAATATGAAAAGCACCAGAGGCACCTTCTGCGGAGTCAATGAAGTTTTGGAGTTTCTGTAAGGTGTATCCACCTTTCTTGATTTTTCGAGATGGCCAGCATTTTATTCCATGTTGCCCACAGATTCTTTTCAAGGTTGTGGGGCACACTGAAAATTGAAGAAAAGCAGGAAATGACATCAAATTATAGAGAAATAATAGAGAACAGTATACATTATCTACGTTAGTATACCATACTGTATAACAAGAATACTTTAGAAGCACATAACAGGCAATAAACCGGAAAGAAAATAGCAACCAACATGATAACATATGATCTCTTCAGTTCAAATGTTTAACCATTTTCTTTCTCCAATTTTTGACAATAACTTCTTTTAAGAAAAAAATATCAGGCTGTTTATCTACAAAGCTCGCACTACAACCAAAACATTCAATAAATTTTAACTTTAAGTAATAATACTTACCATCAATGCTTTTTGCTGCATCTTTTAGGCTTCCAGAAAAATAATGGCGGCGAACTTGCAAAGTGATTGTTTTTTCTGCCTTGGTACGCCTTTTCTCTCCTCTTTTTCCAATAGCCACACTAGAAAAGCTAATCTCATTAAAAGTAGACTCTCCACGTCTCATTAAAAGTAGACTCTCCACGTTCAACACTTTCTCTTAGGCTAATATGTTTTTCATGCTGCTTTACCTCAGATAATTTTTCATCTAACATGGCCTTTGGTTTTTCTTCTGAGTACCAAGGCAGCATTACTGCTCTGTTGAACCTCAGTGAGACTGGAAGTCCAAGTTGAATTTTCTCTAGAAAACTTTTGTGAATGATGAATGCACTGCTCTTTTGATAGCTCTTCTCTACCGGGTATGCCATCCAAAGGGGCTCTAACTTCATTGACTGCCAAATCTTTTTCTTCCTCTAGCTCCTTATCTGTTACAACCCGTAAGCTACAGCATACTTGTTGTATAATGATGGATAGTGAATTAAGCATCTTCTTCTGTCCCTCAGGATCTCTGCAGTCTGCAGGTAAGAAGAACTCCAAGACAAAGTCCGCTTTACCGGTGTGAATGCATCGCAAACGTATTGCAACAGCAGCATGCAATTTAAACATCCTTGCATGGTGAGCGAGAGGATATTCAGTCTTTTTAAAGGCAGTTATGTCAGCTGAGAAGCATGGTTGGTTAGTCATAAATGCTCCCCCAGCAACACCCTGACCTTTTAACAAGTGATGCTCGGAGCAAGCCTCATGAAAACCCAGGATATTAGGATCAGCTATACAGCAAGCTTTATCCACAGTAGACACACAACGAACATAGTTCTCCGTGGAATGCCGGCACCCCTGTTTACCTTGCTGGATACAAGGAACCCAAGTCTGAGCCAGGGGTAATCTGTGCATCTCACACGCACACCTCAAAACTTCTTTGATCTCAGGTAAGGCAGCTTGATAAGAATTATCGCATGCTTGATAAAATGTTAGCCCAATCCATAAGTGCAAGAACAAGTTTAGAACTTCTTAGCAATTAAATTTATTACATAACTGTGAGAATTTACCTCTATGTTTTGAGTGCTGGAAGCTATAGAACTCCTAAGATTGACAGCCTGCCTGTAAAGAAAAACAGGATTAAAAAGCATTCTCAGGACTTGAACCGCATGCTCTAAAATGCAACTATAAGCACAAAGCCAATTGTAATTTATAACTGTTTATAACAGATTAGAAGCAAAAAATCATGAAAACAATAATATAAATAAATAGAACTTTTCAACCCTTTATGTACTGAAGTTTGGCTAGTGCATTAACACAAGATTCCTATCAATAGCTAGTTTAAAAGGGATCCGATTAACAGCATGGCGTGCAATGTGGCAGCATAAAAAATATATGCAATTCTCAAGTGTCATAATCAAAGAGGTAAAAGAATATGGAAAAACTATCAATAAGCAAAATTTATAGGGAAATGCGCAAGGAATGAAGAGTTTAATATGAGACAAACACTAAAAAGCAACAAGTTTCTTCAAGCAATAAAAGGAAAGTTTCTCGAAGAATTTAATCATTAATCACGTGCATGAGATTGACCATTTTCCAAAGGCAATTTGTAGTAATTATTCACCAAGACTTGCGGCAAAGGTATGTTATTATTCATTAAGAATTTCTGTCAAAAACACTAAATTTGTTGAACAAGAACAAAGCACATAATTTGTGACCTATCAAAAAAGAAAACATAAAACTGGAAAAGAAAAGGACCTCTAATGCTTTGCAAACACTTTCGAGCTCAGGTTGAATCTTGATTTTCTCGGTAGTCATCACCACTTCAATAACACCCAAGCAAGTTCTACTGCTTTGTTCAAAAACGGGAAGAGCAAAAGTTCCACGGACACCATGTTGTTGAGCATGATCTACTCGTAGGTATTCATCACTTCTAAAGAATCTGACATCAGGAGTCCACTCTGGAACCTTACTCAAGAAAACCCGACTGGGAAGTCCCGCCATGTCCTTGAAATTCTCCTCTGCGGGGAACTGATATTTGACAGAGATGTTCCTGTAACTCGCAAGCCTTTGGCTGTTGGGATCAAGTGAAAAGGGTTGTTCACTCGTAGTTAGAACATGTCTACCTCCTCTATTTACAGGTACCCATAATTGTACAAGGACATCCTTTTCTTTAGCAAAATCTTTAATATGACCAAGTGCCTGAATTAACCTCTGCATCACAGAAGTTGCAGGACCAGGATTAGTTCTGGGTCCAATCCACCACCTTCTGCTCAGCTCAGAACCGTCAGTTATACAATCACCATGTAGACTGTCACTTCTGGCAACATCAGCTATGTTGTTACTAAATTGAGGACTGACCAAACTTTCACCTTGAGTTCTATTCATAAGCGAATTCCGAGGCAACAATGATCTTTGATTCTCTCCTTGATTATGTATTTGAGAGGGGCCAGCATCCAAATCATCAGTAGTTGACTCTGAAATAGGCCATATAAATGCAGGATCAAAGAAAGAATTTGAAGTGGATGGATTGGGATTAACGAATTCATATCCCTCTGTTGCCTCCAACCAGCAACCCTCTAACAACAATTCATCCATGTAGTCGAAATCCATTGCCGAATCTGGCGGGCCGTACAGCATAGCACCTGGTGAGAAAATGACATCCTCCATGATGGCGTTATTCCACTTAATTTTAGAAATCCCAAGGTTCCTCAGGGTGATCTAATGTCAACTATAAATTTGACAAGAATAACTTTTAGGATCAATTCCACTCTTCACAAGACAATCTGTATGACCGATCAAAATCTTCATGAATACCAACTTGGATAAGATAATAGGAATAATGAAATTCCACGGAGTATTGGAAACAGCAAAGCCAATGAACTAAAAGCTTGAGGCAAAGGATAAGGAATAACTAATGTGTATCATATAAAATTAGGCTTCTCTTTTGCTGTTCCGCATCTAATATCAGTAAAAAGAAAAAAAAAACACTCACACACACACAATAGCAGCAAGTAAGACGAGAATCAATCAGAGGATAAATCCCAATTTGAGGAGCACCATATTTCATGATGCAAATTCAAGAACAGAACAAAAGAACAAACATAAAAAACCCCACTTTCCACATATTCTTCCCAGCTGGTCAACTGATACCTTCAACCCTTCTGATTCAAGATTCTCCCTTTATCAGAAGGAATAGAGAAAATACCCTTGAGAAAAGTATTTTCAACATAACCCATCTGGTTTACGTCTAATATAACCCAAAACATTAAATATTAAAAGCAAGGGATTTTCATTTTCGTTTAAAACAAAAAATATATGTACCATGTGGAGATTCTTGAAGATATCCCAAATCTCAAACGGCTATTACACCACCATATCAAAATGTTTTTATTTTCTGGTGATATTTATGAAAGAGAAAACCTATATGAAGAAGCAGGAACAAGAACGTGAGCAACAAAGAAAGATCTCATTAACCTTGAACAGGCAGTCTCTGTTCAAAAATCCCGAAGATAAGAGCTGTTGCTTCCCATAGTTATCATCTACGCCTCTAGAAAATTCAGACTCTTATGATTCCAGGTTATTGACAATGAAGATTCTGCCCTTCAAGCATTTGGTGCATTCGGCCCCACGACATACATAAACAAATCCTTTCTTGCGCCTTTAAATTCTCGATGAAAAATTAACTTTTTCAAGCCCACCACTGCAGAAGAACAACAACTAATCTGCTTTTCTTTACTTTGCTGATGCTATACTTCGATTAAAAATGGACGTTATTGTTGTGTAATTGAGATGTATTTACTAAAACAAGAAGTGGAATCAGATTTCTTAAAAATCGTTGATTTCTGAGTGTGTACCACTACCACTTGAAGTTTTTGAGATGCTTATCTCTCTCTCTCGCCATTAATTTATTCCACATAACATAAACAAATCTTTTATTTTATAGTAGTATATAATATAATAATATTCAGTAAACAACTGGTGCACAATGGGTGACTGAGGCTCCAAAAGAATGGACTCAGACTTAGAGAGGTCACTTTCAAAAGTTAAAAAGTTAAATCGTCAGTTCTAACAATCTGTTACTTCACTTGAACTTACAAGGTGAAGTCCAATGTTTAAAATTTAAAAGTGGCTGCTAGCATTCAACAACGGTTGAATTTATTATTGTAGTTGCAAATGCAACTGGGTGTCCACGCTGTTTAAAGGCAAGACAGCCTCTTGTGGCCATCAACTTGACAAAAATTCGATCATTTTCATAGCATTCCACCACGCAATAAGTAGGTTGGAACCCTTTTGCTTTTTCTCGTTTCACTTTTTTTTACCTTGAAAACTGTTTCTTCCTTTGAATATTACTGTAAAATTATATGCTACTAACTGTTTCAATCATGCAGAAAACCTAATATGTATATATAGATATATATATATAAATTTAAGGGCCAAGAAAAATGTGTAATATATTCGAATTTCAATCCCAAATCTTGGGAGATTCAGTTTAAAAAAAAAAAAAAAAAACTCTATAGTCATACCCTTACTAAGAGACTAAAAACAAAATGGCATTTGTTTATAATGATTGAGAGTGAATATACGCAATCTTTAGTTTAGGCAAAGGTCACGACTTAAGAATTTAAGAGTTATGTGTTAGAACCAACTGTGCATAAATGGATTTGGAAGGAAGTGGTGGGTAGGGTTGATTATGATGTAATTAGAAGATTCTAGTTATTATATTATTGCAAAATTCATATGATGCTACATGTGCTTGCTGCATGTTGTTGGATTTTTAGTTCTTATAACTTATCAGGGGGGGTTGTTGTGATAGTGGTTCTAATCCGTATACTTTCTTACCACTTAATTGTGAATATATTTGTGATTGGGGACTAGAAAGGGGGGGTTGCCGACTGACTAATCGAGTTTGTAAGCAACTTGAAAGAAAGGTCCAAGACTAAGCGCGTGACGGGTGGTTCTAACGAGATACTCTAGGCATGCTAACTGGCTGGCGTATCTCTATTTTCTAGACTCTAGTTTTAGTTTTTGCAACTATCCTGGCTTTCAGGACAAGAGCCTCGGTATTTTCAAGCTTCATTTTCCTATCCTAACCTACCCTATTCTATACATTCATTTCTCTTTTTTGACGACCTTAACCTTGAATCAATCAATTTATCTGATGAGTGGCGGTGGCGTCGATCTCGTCTCTGTCTGGTCCAATATATTTGTGAAGCAAAAGCAGTAAGCAGCATGGGTCTGTCGTGAGTTTGAAAGATAGCATAGCCCCCGAGCAGTAACTAGGGGATAGTTACTGCCTCCTGAATAAACAGTGCCAGTAACTTCCATCACACGGGCCTTGATTCAAGCATATGAATAAACAAAGCAGGCTCCCAGCCCAAAGGACAGTTTATAGCCGCGTGAGGTGAGGCATGACACAGAATGCTAACTAGCGAGTAGGAAGGCTAAAGATACAACAGAGGCAAGCATAACACTTAAGAAATGCAGCAGTGCAATTTTAATTCGATCAACTCCCAAGATAAATACCAAGTATTACATGTATAATGCAATCGACATTTATTAAATAGGAGCATCAGCTTAAACTCTCACATTTAGTATTACAATATGGCACAGAACAAAAGGATCAACGGTAAGTTTATGCTTGGCCTCTCCACGTTCACTCCTTGCTCTCACCCTCAGCAACTCCCAAGTATCCAGGTCAATAGTCCATTCAAATGCTTGGCCTCACATTGAGACGAGATGCTAACTTCTGACCCAAAGATTTATCAGCCTGTATCACATGCCAGTTATAAATAACACATCAGTAAGCTAATCCCAAAGATTAGACCTATAAAGCTCACATCCATATATGATTTGAGAAGCACTGAGAAGAAAGAGAGTCTAACCTGAGACCAGTATGAGATCCATATGCTGCGGATTTCATGAGTGACACGTGGATCAGACAAGGCATCAACCCATCGGCAGATGAATCGCTCTTGCCTGGTTGCAGCAAACCAATGCAGAAAAAATTGAGACTGATATTTTGATTTATCCATTTATTTTCATTTAAAAAAGGCTGAGAACCCAATGATACCTGTCTGGTGCCCAGGATCGGTATCTCTCTCCTGGCTGTTTGAAGTTGTTCTCCTTCTCAATAATGCACTGTGTCAACCAAAAGACTTAGCACGAACATTAGTCTCTCACCAACCAAAATAGTCCAATTTATAGATAATCTTGGAAGCTGAATGCTAAAGTTTAAAGAGACAAACACACCAGAAAGCTTGAACATTTAATAGAAACCAAAAACAAAAAAGAGCAAGTATTATCTCCTACCCTTTCCTATACCCAGAAATAAGGAAAACATGCGATTTTTCTATTGCTTATTGGATGGTGGGAAATTAATAATCACTTTAAATGCTCCTTTTGCAGCTTTTATATCAAAAGCAAGCCAATGGTTGAGTGGTATTCGATTGTGCAAAAAAAACATACATATAGGCTCATACAATTGAACAACAAACACCACTTTGATAATCAGACAGAAGAAGACAGTAATAGAAACTGACCTTCTCACGCCTTCCAGTGCAAACAGGAGGAGGGATAGGGAACTTCTCAGCGTGACGAACAGGATCATACCTCGAAGGGAAGTAATTGATCTGAAAAACAGTTTCATTGAATCTGATCAGAACACTAGCCATCATGACTTATAGCTTGCATGTTAAAACTCTATACTGCTTTTGAAAACAAACATATATATCCAGTTCAATCATGAATACATTCCAGAATCCATCATTGTGCTAGGAGAAATTAATAGAAAAGTGCAAAGTACCTCCTCATCCCTGTGCATGAAATTCATAAAACCCTCATGGTGGTTGTTGTGATGAGAACACTTGGGAGCATTGGCTGGGAGTTGCAGATAGTTTGGTCCAAGTCTGTGCCTCTGGGTATCTGAGTAAGAGAAGATACGAGTCTGGAGCAACTTATCATCTGAGTAGTAGATTCCAGGAACCACAATGGCAGGGCAAAATGCAAGCTGTTCATTTTCGGCAAAGAAGTTGTCAATGTTCTTATTCAAAACCAAGCGACCAACAGGCTGCAGGGGTAAGATGTCCTCAGGCCAGGTCTTGGTCACATCAAGTGGGTCAAAGTCAAATCTGTCTTCATGGTCAGGATCTATTGTCTGGATGAAAAGTTTCCACTCAGGATAGTTCCCAGCTGCAATTGAGTCAGATAGATCCTGAGTGGCATGGCTGTGATTAGATCCTCCAACCTTGATTGCGTCTTCTTCCAGCAAGCATTTAACCCCACAAGTGGGCTTCCAGTGGAATTTCACATAGTGTGCTTTCCCAGCCTTGTTTATCAGAGTATAGGTGTTTACACCAGAACCTTCCATGTGCCTGTAATCTTGTGGAACACCCAAATCATCAAAGAGAAAAGTAAACATGTGCAAGCTCTCAGGATGGTATGAGAAGAAATCAAGAATCCTCCAGTTCTCCTGGATGTGAGATTTAGGGTTGGGTTTAAGAGCATGAACCATGTCAGGGAATTTCATTCCATCACGGATAAAGAAGACTGGGAAATTGTTTCCCACAAGATCAAAATTACCCTGAGTTCATATGAAAAGTTTAAAGTAAGAACAGACCAACAAGTTGGAAAACAAATCATATTTCAACAAAGTAATGCATAATACACTCACCATTGGATTCACAAACTATGCCTTAAACCCAATGAAGAAAATTATAAAATATAACATTGAATGAAAAAAATCTTCATAGCATGTTTAACTAATTTAACCAAAGTTACAAGTGCTCTAAACTTTTTTCACTTTACATATTAGAATGCACCAAATGTGTCCCTCAAATGTAGTGACGGAAAGAAGGTGGCCAGTGAACTCTTACCTCTCGGGTGTAAAACTTCACTGCAAAACCACGAGGGTCCCTCAAGGTTTCAGGGCTTCCACGTTCATGGATGACAGTAGAGAAACGTACAATAACAGGGGTCTGAACACCAGGGGCTCGCAGAAAATCTGCACATGTAAGGTGAGAAATGTCATGGGTGACCTCAAAGAAACCCTTAGCGCTGGCTCCCCTAGCATGGACAACTCGTTCTGGAATCCTCTCCCTGTCAAAGTTGGCAAGCTTTTCCACGAGATGATAGTCCTCCAGGAGGATCGGACCTGTCAAATAAAAGTAAAGGATCCAGATTGTCAACAAAATGTGTTAAAAAGTGTTTCAACAAAGTATTTACATTTGATTTAAAAAAAAAAAGGCCAAGTGCAAACCCCAGCCCCCCGCCCACCCAACAAATAGAAAAAAGATGGCCTTTTCGTTTAACATGTACAGTAATGCATAGGATGAGACTACTATATAAGAGATGGTAACTATATAATCAAATAGGAACAAACATAAGCACACCAAAACAAAGAGGACGCTCATTAAGACAAATAACTCAATAAAAAATCATGACTAAAAATCTGACAGTCAATAGCTCATGCATTTCTTCATCATAGTAATAAAAAAGGAGGAAAAAATTATATACCTCTGGGTCCAACGGTGAGTGATGAGTTGTTGTTCCAAACTGGAGCACCAGAATTGGTTGTCCAAAATGGGGAATTGAAAGCGCTGGATGGACGGTGCTGCATCATCCAATTCAGAATAACAAAAATCAAAAGATAATCGCTAAGAAAAGGAAGGATTTTGAAAAGGGAAAATAAAAAGGAAATACAACTGGATTCATCAAGATTATTATAAAAAAGAAGCTTATTTGAAATGCTTTTCACTACTTTGTTCTTGGAAGTCAAACGAATTTCATGATTACCCACCTAATAACTTAGGGGTAAAAAACAAATCATGAAGAATTTATGAGGAAGCGTCGTAACAGAAATCCAATTAACAAAAAAAAAAAAAAAAAGGAACCCAGCGCGGAATTGAAAGCAACATCAATCAAAGACGGAACACATCATATTTGATTTAAAGAAGAAGTCAGTTAATCAAAAAGAACGAGAAAGTCGAATCAAATCTAGCGATTGATTAATAACCACAATAATAGAAATGGAGAAGAGAAAGAGAGAGTACGTTGTAGGGATCCATGAGCAGAGCGAAGAGCAGGTGAAGGTGGAAGAGAAAGTTCGATACGAAAGAGAACGGTAGTACGTCAATCGGAGAAGCAACTGTTAACTGGGTAATTATTTATATAGCGAACGTGGTATGGCTCGCGATTGTATAACCCTATCTAGACATACAGCGATTATTTCATTTCTCTCGCGATATTCTTGCAATATTCTCACCCAATTTAACGTCTCAATCTATTATGTGATATCTATTCGTTATTATTTTTATTCATACATAAATATTAAACAAATTTAATTTCAAATGGATAAGAACTAAATTTGGGTAAAATCACTGTTTATTTTTGGGTCAAATTTTAACTAAAATAAATTTTACTAATATTTGAAAAAGCTTGAGATATTTCAACCAATTTGAGTGAGAAGAAATTATTATGGTAAGTGAGCCGAGAAATTGGAAAAGCCGCCGATATTTATGGTATCATTGAATTTTTTTATTTATGGTGAAGGAATGCAAGAAAATGTAATCAAAGAATTAAAAATAATTGAGAACGTCAGGGATTGATGGATCCTTATCCAAGATGTGGACTTATCCAAGATGTGGATTTTTGCTAGAGTCAATTCGTACCCACTAAAGGCCGGAGGTGACATGGACCACTGCCATGATGACACGTCTGCAACAGAGTTCTTGAAACGTGTGTAAAGCCTTTAAAAGCACTCCAGGGTCTGAAGGATTTGTGGAAGGAGTGTGAAAGCTAAGCTGCTACGCTTGGGTAATATGCTGATAAGATTATAGTGGGCCTTGATCTAAGCTTTGCCACAAGACGGCCTTTTGGGCCCACATTCATTAGAAAAACAACATATTTTGTTAAACATTCGTGCATAAATATCCAATGAACAAGAAAATGGAAACGCAATACATGGCGTAAGTAAAAGAATCACATTTTGTTGGCACTTTTTAACCAAAAAAAAAAGGGAGGGGTTGTGATTTTATGTCAATGACTGATATATATATATATATATACATATATATTGTCATGTGATGAAAATTTACTGATATTTTGGACTTGTGAATTTAGTCTACTGACAGAGAAGTGTAGAAAGTTTTGGATGTAGGCCTGCAAATTATATTTTTTCTTTCTTATTACGCTGATTTAATAAAAACTCAAGTTAAATATAACATGGATGCAATACTACAAAAACGAATGCTCCAAGTTACCTACTACTTACAGTTAAATGTTGAAATTTTGAATTAATATTAATGAACAGATAAATATGATAATCTCTGTAGTTATTCAACATGAACAAAGAGAAATGATCGCAAAATGAAAATGAAGGGAAAAAGCTTAATAAACAACTAATTAATTGAGAACTGAGATTGCATGCACTTGATCAGAAGATTTATGGGATTTGTTCAGACTTGCTCATAAGCTGCAAAAGAGCATTTGCTTTCCTCTGTGCTCTATTGGTTCCACTCTGCGAGATCTCAATCAAATGCTCATATACACCAAATTGAAGGGCTGCAAGAATGTGAGATGAATTATTTGAACTCAACTCAAGCAGAACCGAGGTAGCACACTCTTTGTTCTTGGGGGTTCCATCTTTGATAATGTCAACCAGAGTTCTAATGAATGAAAGCTGTCCAATCTCATGCCGACCCTCTGGATGAGTTGCAAGAAGTAAGAAGATGGAGAGGGCCTCATCAACCATGCCCAGTTTCTTGTCCTCCAGTAACAACAGTAAAGGTGGTACAATGCCAGCATCAATGGCCCTGGCCTTATTTGCTTGGTTGAGAGATAAGTTGAACAGTGCAGTGACAGCATCTCTTTTACCTCTAATTGTCCCGTTCTGCAACAAGTCTACCAGTGGGGGAACTCCATTTGCCAGAGCTATTGTTACTTTGTTCTCGTCGAGCATTGACAAGCTAAATAAAGCTGCAGCAGAATTCTCTCTTGACTCCATACTACCATTTTGCAAGACTTCTATTATAGCTGGTATTGCATGTTCAGTAGTTATGAGCTTCTTATTAGAATCATCAATGGATAAATTCAATAGAGCTGTCACAGCATGTTCTTGAATTTTAGAATCTGGATAGGACAACAGCTGCACTAATGGTGGGATTGCCCCACTTCTAGCAATCAAAACTCTGGTCTCTGGATTTTCCTTGGAAAGCATACGAATATCCTTTACAGCCTTTTTCTGCACTTCTAATTGACTGGAAGATAGGTCTTCAACCAAATAGGAGATTTCCTCTCTGTGTTCAACAGAGGAGCCATCGGAAGATGCAAGATCCTCTTTCTTGGGGAGATTAAAGTTGTTCTTCTCACACCATTGTGTGATAAGGTTCTTGAGGGCATAATTTGGCGCTAGTGACAAGTGAGCTAGAGTCTGCCTTGTCTTTGGGCAGGTGCGATGGTTAGAATCAAACCACTTCTGTATGCTCTCTCTTTCAAATGTCTGAATTTGGTTGGAAACAAATGAAACAAAAATGAAATATATAAGTTTCCCATTGCAAAATATGATGATCTAGTTACATATTTCCTAGTTTCATGTTTTTTTTTTCTTCTAGTAGTCGACTCATATCTAATTAATGATGTTATTGTTTTCTGTCATTCAACTGGTTGAAAAGAAGATATAGTTGGAGTGTAGATATAACATTACCTGTCCACTCGCGACAATAACAGGATCTCTCATTATTTCAAGTGTGATTGGACAGAGGAATTCATGAGGGATCACCAAAGAATAGGACTTCACCAACATTTTATTAGGCATGACAGGATCATCAAGAACATTGGTTACTTCCATGCCTAAAATTTGCTTGAATTTGTCGAGGAGTTCTATAATTTGCTGTGTAGACTCTGAAGTCTGGCCTCTTTCTTTAGCAAGATTCTTCACGGCTATAGTTTCTATCTTCAAGTCCTCAACTGTATGTAGATCTAGCTTTTTGGCTAGCCTTTCTATTATGGCTATATCAGCATTCCTTTCATCAGTTTTTGAGGATACTGCCATCATATCTACTGCCAGTTCTATGTCCTGCGTATCTGTTCTTCTCTTAGCTCGGCTTAATTGTGTCAGCATTAGCTCAACCTGAATCACAATAGACAGACTAAATTTTAAAGAAACAAGAAACATATACTATTAGAATGTTAATTACAATATTGTTTTGAATCCTAAATATAATAACAAATCCTGTCAAATAAACTATTACGTATCAAGGTTATATATACATGCATATTAAAGCCCAGTTTCCTTGTCCTAAAAATTATGCATATACTTAACATATGCAAGTAATTTTTGTTAATACTTCAATTAATGCCAACAACTTTATATGGCTAAATGTTGAGAGATTATAAGATGGGTGAAGGCATCAAGTACAGTTTTGCTTAATTTCCAAATAATCCTTCAAAGACAAAGGAAGATAATATTTTCATACCTGCTCCCTCACTTCGACAGATATTTCAAGTTCATCGAAAGGCAACTCCTCCAAAGCTTGGGTTAATTTTTCGTAAACAGTGTGAAATTTGATCATCATAGCCTCACTCTCCAACGCCTGAATTACAAAATAAGGAAAATCTCAGATCAAGCAACAATGAGAATTTCCAAATCAATCGGATAGAAAAGTGATATGAGACCCCAAATCTGCAAACACCCTCACCAGATAAATCTTGCTACCCTCATTGCAAGTTTTCAATAGTTTCTTTGCCAAACGAAGTGCTTTGTTCAACTTTGACAAGCAAACAATACCATTGGCGGTAATCGGGGAACCAAGGTACCGAATCTCATCGAAGAATGGCAACAAAATCTTCATGCGCCTAACGAGGCTGTAACATTCTTTTCTTTGCGTCCTTCGGTAATCACCAAGTCGAGCAACATATTCAATCAGACTCACGGTGTCCTCAACAATATCAATTTCCTCTTGCGCTGTTGGTGTATTCATTCCATTATCCTCTTCCTCCATAGTCTCCCCTGCTCCATCTTCACCATCTCCGTCTCTCTCTCCATCCATTACCATCTGCCGTTTGTGCTAGCTCTTCCCTAGAGAACTAGCTAGGGACTTTCGTCCATGGCTTAACTAGTATCTGATCTTTTGTGCCAGCTGACTAAATAATCCAATCACGGTTTTCTGAAAGAGATGAGAAATGTTTAACATGAATCACCATATGGTGCATGAATGAAGAGGGCTGAGGGAAATGAAATCAAAGGAACATAAAACCCTAGGCCCAGTTTCCATGAATCCTGTGTTTCTTGGTCCGTGGATAATTCCTTTGCGTGCTTTTCGTGTCTGTTACAATAAATTTCGCGGGGGGTGTTGGTTCTTAAAATAGAAAATCCTTTTGATAGTTTGTTACCGTTAAATGGACAGCCATAGTTTGCTTGATCTCAAACAATCTTACATGCATTACACATGTAAATCAATCAACTTCCTGAAATGTGAAACAATTAATCATATGTTTTTGCAGTTGACACAACCTTTTGTTCATGGTTACGTGTTTCTTTGTATATATTATTATATATATATATATATATATATAAATATCATCCTCTACATGTACACACTGGTTTCATCAAATTTTAACAGTGTATACTAGAGTACTAGACTAGACACTTCATAAATTTAATTAGTTTAAACTTCGTATGATCATGTCATTTGTGGTTAAGTATATTTCACACTACGACTTACTTGACTGCTACATTTATATATTCATGGGAAAATCTTAGCCATGTGGTAAAAGAGTGATTTCATTGCATTTCTTCCTCTTTGAGGTACGGTGCTAAAATAAGTATGGATTTATGAACTTTATATGGCAGTGGCCCAAGGCCAACGGCTTTCTCCCTTATTTCCATTTCATTATACTTAAGTTTATAAATCCTTATAAATGGTGAAACAATAAACATACGACTGGACTGCTAAAATTTGGCAGTGCCAGGCTGGCTGCCAAACCCCCCCCCCCCCACCCCACCCTCTTTGTCGGACGACTGTTCACATTCTTGAAGACCATATCTTGGCATAATCACGAGTCTTGACTTTTTTCAATTTTCACTGCTTCGGCATCACATATAAAATCTCCTACTCTGTCTCTCGACCGTCTGATTGTTGATTATTGAATCATGAGCAAATTTGATTGATGTGGACCCCTTATTAATAATGGTTTTCCCATCATGATGAAACGACCTCATCAAGATCAACGGTAAGGAAACGTGTCAAATGAGTTACAAAAAGAGGGCATTGTAGCCCTTGACAAAAGTAATTGCAAATCATCGGACGGTCGAGAAGACATGTATTACTATATTGTATATTTTTCCAAGCAACGTGGCAGAACATTGCTGGTATGTCATAGAGAATTAGGTTAAAAGCAAGCTGTTGTAATGTTATCCGTTGGAATTAAATAAGACTTCACGGCATAGCTATAGATTCAATGAGATGAATGATTATTATTATATTATAAAGAAAATGCTAGTAATAACAGAATATAAATTTAAAAAAAAAAAGGAAAATTTGAAAGCACATGGTAAGTATCCGTTGAACGTACACAGAACAACGCGACATTTCACCTAGAAGATCTGACGGCTAGAATTTACTAGCCGTTAGTTTTAAAAAAGAAGATAGGGCAGGTGCGGACATATATCCGCCCTTTGCGTCTCAATTTCCTTTCATAATTTGGTCTTTTTCTTTGTGCAAAAAAAAAAAAACCCAAAAGCCTGAAGAATAAGAGAAAGAGAGATCACTCGCTTGCTGTTTCAGGCCTCACTCAAATGTCATTCTTTTGAGTAATCTCTCTGTTCAATTTCCTTTTTCGGTGAAGTGAACATCAAAGGAAACGGGGTTTTAGATTAGAATCTGGGACTGGGACAGATCAACAAGGAAACCCTTTCGAGAGAGGTTCTTTGACTATTTTCTTATCTAATGATTTTTTTTATCGTCTTTCTTTATTGGGTCTTTAAGATTTCTTTCAATTAAAATTTTTTTTAAAAAAAAGTCGGTTGCTTTAATTTTGATTGAAGGAGTCTTGACTTGACGACCTCCGTTGGAGTTTAGGGATGACTATGTTAACTGGATTCTTATTGTTTATAGCTGTTGTTTGTAGAAAATGGCTGGATCGGATGAGAACAATCCTGGAGTCATCGGACCCTCACATCTTCCAGGTGATTAATCCAATCCCATTTTCAGTAATTTCTCTTTTGATGTTTAAATAAATTTTCGAAATTTTAAAGTATTAAAGAAATGCTTATCAAAAGATGGTTTGCGTGCCGGAGGGGGAGGGAAGTTCGTGCCCGCGACTGGGCACAGCCGAAGAGCATTGAGCACAATTAATCGGAACGTAATTGGAGCTCCACCTTACCCTTGTGCGGTCAACAAGAGACCTTTATCTGAGTGAGTATTTTTCTTAAATCCTCTCTCCGTTTGGTAGCTGAGAACAGAAAAGAAAGTAGATCTTTTTGAGTTAGCTATTGTTGGTTTTGTTTTTAATTCCTGAATGACATTGAATAAATGATGCATATGAGGAGTGGGGTTTGCCTTGGTATGCAAAAAAAGAGACTTTCTTTTTCATTTTTGAAGAATAGTTTTCTATTTCTCTCCTTCTCAACTGAAGATTTGTCATCAAGGCATATGTTTGATATTCTTTGTCCTTTTTCTTTTTCGTCTTAATTCAGAAGAAATACAGTCTCTGATAAGATCCCACCCATGCCCCTGCATAGACCAATTACTAGGTCAGTAACTTTTTCTTTTAGATTTAAGATGTTTGTTTTGATTGCCAATCTTGATAATTTTGCTTATGATTCTTTTTATTCAGGAAGTTTGCTGCCCAGATGGCTAACAAGCAGCTAATCAAACCTGAGGTACCATTTTTTACAATGAAAGAATTTTGGTATTAATCAAGTTAGATTAATGATTAATTACACTAACAGGAAATAAAGAAATCAGTCCAGTCAGTGCCAGTGCCAGTTTCAAATGAATCTGAAGATTGCACCATCATAGATTTTGATGACCCCGAGGCAAGTAGTGATTTCGATGTGCCGATGTTTGTGCAACACACAGAAGCTATGCTGGAGGAGATTGATCGGATGGTATGTGTCACCTCCCTTTACCGTAAACTCATCCATAATCAATCTCATGCTTTTGTTTGGAATTGCACTGATGCTTTGTCTTCCCTGCAGGAGGAGGTTGAAATGGAAGACGTGGATGAAGAGCCTTTTACGGACATTGACAATTGTGATAAAAAGAATCCGCTTGCAGTTGTTGAGTACATTGATGATTTATATAAATTCTACAGGAAAGCAGAGGTGATTTCATGCTCAATTGCAACTTAAAAAGATTGAGTATTAATCACTTTTTTGGTTGAACTTGTTCATTCAATTTTTGCAGTGTACTGGTTGTGTTCCTCCAAATTATATGGCACAGCAATATGACATTAACGAAAGGATGAGAGGTATCCTCATTGACTGGCTGATAGAGGTAAGCAAAATACTTGTTAAGAGATGAATTAATAGCATCCTGTGATCCTGGTAATTTCAAAATCCATCATTAATGAGCATTATGGAATGACAGGTTCACTACAAGTTCGAGCTGATGGAAGAGACCTTATATCTGACAGTCAATCTAATCGATAGATTTTTAGCTGTTCAACAAGTAGTGAGGAAGAAACTTCAGCTGGTTGGAATAACAGCCATGCTCCTTGCCTGCAAATATGAAGAAGTTTCTGTTCCGGTTGTAGAGGACCTGATTCTGATTTCTGACAAGGCTTACAGCAGGAAAGAAGTGCTTGATATGGTTTGTAATTCAGAATTGTGCTCATAATTTCACTTCTTTTTTCCTTTTATTGCATTGAAGACTCAATAAGAAATACATACAATCTTAATTTGCAGGAGAAATTGATGATCAATACCTTACAATTCAATCTATCTCTTCCTACGCCGTATGTGTTTATGAGGAGATTTCTCAAAGCTGCAGATCAATCTAACAAGAAGGTTCGTGAAAACAAAAACATTGTCATTTTGCATTTTTTATCCAACAATGTTATTAATTGAATCTGAGATGGCTTTACATGTGACTTTGAACCAGCTTGAGCTTCTGTCATTCTTCATTATCGAGCTTTGCCTTGTCGAATATGAAATGCTTAAGTTTCCACCTTCTTTATTAGCTGCTGCTGCTATTTTCACTGCTCAGTGTGCTATTAGTGGGTCTAAGCATTGGAGCAAGACCAGTGAGTGGTATACTATCTACTCGAAAGAGCAGCTTATGTAAGTTTTTCCTCTTTGGTCCTCGGAATTACCAGCAAATTGTTTATTTCCAGTTAAAACTTACTCTTGTCATTTTTTTTGTAGGGATTGCTCAAGAATGATGGTTACTTTCCATCAGAAGGCAGGGACAGGGAAACTTAAAGGTGTTCTCCGGAAGTACAGTACATCTAAGTATGGTTACGCTGCAAAAACTGAGCCAGCAGCTTTTCTCTTGGAGGCTAGATTCTAGAACAAATCCAGCTACCAAGAAACTAACTAGGAATTGAGGGGGATGGGGCACAATTGAGCAACACAAGTTGCCCCTGGGTTTTATGAATAATACTGACTCGGAGTTTGCCCTTTGAATTCTGCCATTGTTTTTATTTTTTGTTTTGAACATAGCCAAGATGTTTGTCTTTTTCTCCTTCCCAGAGAGTAAAATAATTTTTCTTTTTATGTTTCTCAATGGATAAAGATTTTCATTTCATTTCATTTCATTTCTTCCTTTTTTAGTTACTTTACAAGTACTGAATTTTGGTAACAAATGAGAAGAAAAGGATTCGGAGAACAAATACCGGAAACCCCGACAGCCCAACCACCAAGCAGATTTTTTTAGACCAAAAATGTGTTGGTCCTGCAAAAACATTTTCCGTTGCCGGGACTTGAACCCGGGTCTCTCGGGTGAGAGCCGAGTATCCTAACCAACTAGACTACAACGGATTTACAAAATAATTGTGTACCTTTAATATTCATCATTAAAAGTTCAACAGAAAAAGAACCATTATTGTTTTCATTCTGATTCTTGATTTGCACTACTTCAAAACATCATTGGCTTCAAGGTGCCCTGAATAAAGTGAGTATTTTTAATAGTCTCTTATTGAATGAAACAGATTGCTGATTAGAGAGACGGAGAGAAAAAAAATACACTACAAACTACTAAGCAATAAAATCTATCTCGAGAAAAATTGAATGAGAAAAACAAGTGCGAATCAAAAAAGAGTTTGTCAGCAGACAAAAAATCTGGGTTTTTTACGTGTCAAAGTCAGATTACATCCACAGCTGCCACTCACTATATTCCACGTGTCACCATAACACCAAATTTTAGCCATAAATTCACTTCATTTCCAAATCTTTAAAATTTCTATTTAAAAACAAAATCAGATTCTAAAAAGTCCAACCTGCCAGATTAAGAAGATCCCACCCTGTTTCTTTAAATCATGAGTTGCAGTTTTCCTTGATGCAAAGCATCTCCTTTCGTTTATGGTCCTGTGAAATTTCATTCCAGGTAAATTGAAAAATCATTTAATGTTGTAAAAAAGGATTTTTTTCTGTTGTAATCGAAAGCTATTATCATCGGTGCCCATCTCATGTCTTGTATTTGTCTATTGTGTGGACTTTCGTGGGCTTATTTTAAGGTTATCTTTAGAGATATTTTTTGCGTTTTGGTCTTGTAGTTGGATAAGAATGTGGTGTAGGATCGATATCGAGTTAAAAGCAGGTAGTGGGTCTTGATTTTTTTGTCAAGTTGGACGATTCCAGCGGTCTCTAGGTTCCTCTCAGATAGCGATGTTTGAACCGTTACTGTGCTTTAGTTTTAACCTCCAAAGTTCATCACTTGCCAGAATCTGTTTTACAATGTGTTTTAGATTGATTAATTACAAGCTAAGATTGTTGTTTTCTTGCTTTAATGAAAACTTGTCCTTTTTGTAGCAGATAAAGAAGGTGGTGATATCTCCCTCACTGTCTCATGTTCCTATAAATACCGCTGATTTTCTAGCTAAAGTTTCAAGGGCGTGAAAACTGTTGGTTTTTCTCTTTGGAAAGATTATGGAAAACAAAGAGAAAAAGTTCCTCACGGTAGCTCCCTTTGAGTGTGCTTGGAGAAAGGATTTGAAATTTCGGGAAGCTGGCAGAGGATGTGTAGCATTCGATGCTTTTGCACACAATGATGTTACTGTGGTGTTTAGGGAGAATGTTGGAAGTCAGCACTACCATTATAAGAGGGATAGCAGTCCTCATTATACTGTAATCATTGGTAGCCATAGGAATCGTAGATTGAAAATTGAGGTGGATGGCAAAACTGTGGTTGATGTAGCAGGTATTGGCCTATGTTGTTCTCCTGCATTTCAGAGTTATTGGATCAGTATCTATGATGGATTGATTAGTATTGGTAAAGGAAGATACCCTTTTCAGAATCTTGTGTTCCGGTGGCTAGATACAAATCCAAATTGTAGTGTTCGGTATGTTGGCCTTAGTAGCTGGGATAAACATGTAGGTTATAGAAATGTTAACGTATTGCCCTTGACTCAAAATCATTTGTTGCTGTGGAAGCAAGTGGACTGTGTTGAATACAATGGTGATGAGGAGTTGGAAGATGAACAAATGGGTTATGAGAAGTGGGGACTTGAAAATTTTCTCGAGAGTTGGGAATTATTTGATATGTTCTTCATTGTTGGTGAGGATGAAAGGCCTGTCCCTGCTCATAAGGTTATATTGCAAGCATCAGGAAACTTTTCTCTGAGCTCATCAGATAGAGATGTTGTTCAACTGCAGCAGGTAGCATATCCAATTCTTCATGCTCTTCTTCAATATGTATATGCAGGCCAAACCCAGGTATCATTTATTGTTTCCTCTACATACCCACTGTTTTTGGCATTCTCTATCAGTTTTAAAGATCTATTCTCATTTCCCTTGTCCTAGTTTTTCTTATTTCTTGCTTCCGTTTGACACAGATTTCAGAGACACAACTTAGTTCCTTGTGGGCTCTGAGCTTACAGTTTGAAGTGATGCCACTGGTGAAGCTATGTGAGGAAGCAATGGAGCGGTTTAAAGTAAACAAAAAGTTGTTTGATTCCGGTAAGACTGTGGAGTTATCATATGCAAGTTCTCAGCTCCATTCTGGAGGAACCTTCTCCTCTGGTCTCCCGATAAACATGCAGAGGCTCCAACAATTGCGTTCAACAGGCGAGTACAGTGACATTAGCATTTGCATTGAAGGTCAAGGTTTCATTGCTCGAGCTCATAAAGTTATTCTCGGCTTATATAGTGTCCCATTTGCAAAGGTGAGGACCTCATGCCTCCTATGGATAATGCTGTAGGAAAATGTCCAACAAAATTTCTTAAAATATAGGCATCTCTCTTCTGCTGTTATGAGATCTTGGCAAAAGAAAATGAAGTCTGTTAGATAAAATAAATTGTACTTTCAAAATAGTATATATTATCCAAACTTTACTGAAGTTGTGCTAAGATCTGTTTCTTACCGCTCACCAAGATATTGCTTTTCATTATATTTATTTGAGGTTGAAAGATTTTGGATAAAGAATTTTTTGTTGCTTGGCTTTTTTTGCTGCACCATGGATATGAAATTTTCAATATGGCGAGTTCAAATAGCTTCAAGTCAGATGTAGGTTTTTATTCCAACTTTCTGCATTAAGATTTGCTCACTAGTGCAACTAACATTTTATAAGGAACTGAATAGGCATACTTTTGTTTCATCACAAAATGAGGGGGTGAAACCTTTATATTTCTGTCTAAAAGGAAGAGATCATTGGGCTGATGTCTCCTCTTCAATTTCACCAATTTTTTTGGTTCTCAGTCTGGTTGTGTCAACAACATTTGAATAATGTAATTAGCTTCCCCGCAGATGTTCACAAATGGAATGTGTGAGAGCAGCTCGACTGAGGTTTGTTTACAGGATGTGTCTCCAGCAGCATTGAAGGCTATGCTTGAATTCATGTACTGCGGAGAACTCAGGATTGAGGATACTGAGGACTTTGGTACCTTGTTACTCCAGCTCCTTCTATTGTCTGACAAATATGGAATCTCTCTTCTTCATCAGGAATGCTGCAAAATGCTTTTAGAATGCCTCTCTGAGGTAGTTTACTAATCTATAGCTTACAAAATAATTTGATTTGGTCGTTTTGCTAGATCCATGCATATATTTTTATTGTCAATGTCTCATTATGTCTTTTGTATGAATAGAATTAAAAGAACGGAGAAGTGACTTGCGGTTTTGGAGTTCTGAAAACAAAAGAAGAGACCCCTTTTATAATAATGAATTATAAAATATTGATACCTTTCATGTACATATTACATGCAGGGATGGAGTTCTCCTAATGGAAGATGGTCATACAACAAGTTTTTGTATTATGCACAAGTTTAATGGACGAGGAAGCAGACAATAGGGCTAATATAATTAGTTGCCCTGCAGATGTTCACAATAGGGCTGTTGCTTGTGAAGCTAACTGTTGAACTTTGTTGCAGGACTCCGTCTGTCCAATCCTCCAAGTGGTTTCATCAATCCCATCATGTAATCTTATCAAAGAAACTTGTGAAAGGATACTTGCAATGCACTTTGACTACTGCACAACTGCAAGCCTTGATTTCATCTCTTTAGATGAGACAACTTTTAGGAATATTATTCAGGTGGGTTTTCACTTGTGAAAATTCCTATGCTATCTTAGCTATCTTAGTATGAGGCTGAAGTGCTTTGTGCATAGAGTATAATTTCCAACATGAAGAGAGAAGCTGTGCAGTGATGGGTTAATGATTTATGTTGCTGCATTCTAGCAAGTACATAACCGAAAAGGATTGTTTTACATAATATATTGGATCAAAGTGGCTAGTCAGTTATACAGATAGAGATGGAGAACTTATAAAGAAATATGCTGAACTTTTGTCTATTGCTCTGTCAAGGGTTGCTTATGCTTATTAAATTGCTAGATTTGAGGCAATTATAAATTAGACCCATCTTTTGGTTGGTCTATGCAAGTTATAACGTATATTTAGAGTTGCATACAAAGTATACCGCATGATAAGTTTCCTTATTTCTTATTATAAATTATGGACTTCTTGCAGCATCCAGATCTAAAGGTAACATCTGAAGAAAGGGTTTTAGATGCAATTTTGATGTGGTGCATGAAAGCAGAGAAATTGTGTGGGTGGGGGGTGGTGAGTGAGCTAATGATAAATTCAACTTCAGAAAGTCTGTTCAAGGGTAGGCTTCAACCAGTTAATGACTTGCTTCCATCTGTGCGGTTTTCTTTACTGCCATATCCCCTGCTTAAGGAGGTAAGAAAAGCCTGGACCTTAGGATATGTATCAAGCAGAATGTTAAGAATATGACTATGGCCCAACTATCAACTGCAATTTTTTTCAATGATGTTGCAGTTAGAAAATACCTTTCTAAGCAGGCAGATTTCCTCTTTTGGTGATCTTGTAAGTTTGCTGTTTCTCTTCAAAGAAACCTTTTGGGCATGTGTTTCAATACTTTATTCTGTTTCCTCCAATACTAATGTCTTTAAGATGAAATAGGTTAAGGAAGCCATTAATTATATAGAATGCAGAGTGGCGACCCATGGAAATGACCAGAAGTAAGTCTTCTTCTGTGCTTAATGCATTTTCATATCTTGCTCTAAAGGGGCTTACATTCTGAATAGAAATGTCATTGTCATTATTGAGAAAATGATCATTACAATTGAAAATCTGACACTTAAAGCAGTGAAGAGAAACCAAGTCCACTATAATCTCCTCTCTTTCTTACGGTTTAGCTTGCTTGCCATTATCCTCTCATATTTGTTGTGAGTGCTGCTCTGGCCATCAGAGCAGTTCCTTAGTCATGTTTCATTTGATTCTTTCTGAACTTGTTGATGCTAGACTTGTTGTGGAAGAGTTTTAGATATATCTGCATTCTGTTTGAAATGAATTTCCAAGGAGCCATGGCTTAGAGGCAGTGTTTTTGAGCAATAAATTGAGTAACATTGGTTTCAATTTTGTGTAGTGTAAGATTTCAACATAGGCGTTCCAGTTATAAGGAGCTCCAGTATATATGTGATGGGGATAGCAATGGAGTTCTGTACTTCGCTGGGACATCATATGGGGAACATGCATGGGTTAACCCTGTTCTGTCTAAGGTGGAATTCTCAATGCTCATTATTTTTTCTTTCACTCTCCAGTTTCTGTTCCTTAACCCCCGCTTTAATTACATGCTTCAGAGAATTGCTATTACTGCTAGTAGCCCCGCTTCAAGACACACTGATCCCAAGGTTTTGGTATCAAGAACTTACCAGGTATGATGAGTCAAACCCTTTCAAAGTTTTATAAAAGTAGTCTAACAAAGCATAATGCATTATTAGCTTAACTAAATGACAAGTCCCATGTCAGGGAACGTGTTTTGCTGGGCCTCGTATGGAAGACAGACATATCTGTGCATGGTGGATGGTTGACATTGGCCAAGATCATCAGGTTTCTGCTCTGTTCTTCTTAACCTACTATCCTAAAAAGAACATTTTGAATTAAGTTGTCAGTAATGCATTCATTAGCATCATATGCATTAACTTTCAAGTGTTTTCAAAGGAAATATGGTCTATGACTCCAATAACAAAGAAGTTTCAGGTGCAATTGAGTTTCCATGTCTGTTAGTCTCTTCCAGTTATAGCATATACCTGATTAATTTCATTGCCCCTTAAAATTTCAGTGTATGTCTTAATTTGAGTGAAATCTGGTACCCGTCTTCTAATCAGAAAATGTGGTTAATGCAGCTGATGTGCAACTACTACACATTGAGACAGGATGGCTCCAGGACCTACATAAGGTGTTGGGAATTTCAGGTAAAGAAGATGCTAAGTGAATTGTTTCTTAGATACTTGGTGCTGAAATTAGCGAAAATTCAAACAATGGAAGCAAACTGTAAGGTAACTCTCCTCAACCTTCCAGGGTTCTGTGGATGGAAGGACTTGGATAGATTTGAGAGTACACGAGAATGACCAAACAATGTGCAAGCCCGGTCAGTTTGCATCATGGCCTGTAACTGGACCAAATGCTCTGCTTCCATTTAGATTCTTCAGGGTTCTACTTACTGCTCCAACCACGGATGCTTCTAACCCCTGGAACTTCTGCATTTGCTACCTGGAGCTATACGGTTACTTCCACTGAATAGGATTCTATGTGCATCTGGCGTTTTCCATTATCATTTCCTTCAAGTTTTTCGGTTACTTACACTGAATAGAATTATGTGCATCCGGCGTTTTCCAATATCATGTACGATTACACCAAAATAATTTATATAGTCTAGGACGGAATTTACCTTGTCCAATTCATGTCTTGAAATGATGACTTGACTGCTCTAAAATCTGGCCCTCACTTCAATAGAGGGTTACGCCTTTTTTTTCTTGGTGAAAGGCAATGACATCCTAAAATACTTGCAACATATGTTGAACGAGAATGTGCCGTTCGGCATTCCGTATAAATATAGGTTGTTGTGGATCACTTCGCCCCCACATACGATTTCGCCTTACATATGGCTGAAATAACGCCAATGCTCATCTCTGCAGAAGGCAAGTGCATATTCTACACTGAAATCCAAAAAACCTTTAATGGCAATAGAAGTAGACAGTTCTTTAAGTTTCTATAGGTTTAAGACTACTTAGATTACCATTGTTAACGTTTACCAACGTTCATGCTATTGAGCAAAAATACGTTGGAATTCCCAAAGACTTATGGCATGGGAGGTGCTGGTTCAGATTATACAATCATAGCTGCATTTCTCTACAAACACAAAATCACTATGCAGGAATAACATTCAGAAGACCAAACTAATAGTTCTGAGATAAAATGAGCAATATCATGTTCCCAAAAGTACCCGTGCCTTGTGAATAAAAAGCCATTAGAAATAATAAGATCATTTTGGCAATTCAATACGTTCATACAGAAAATGACAGTCATTTGGATCCAGGAAAAATAACTTCAGCTCTATCTAATTTCTTTTTCCTCATCATAAAGTGTGGATTCTTTTACATCAAATATGAGGAGTACAAGTTTGGTTACTAAACTCAAGCCAATTCTAAGGTGGCATACAATGGTGAACGCTGCTCCTGACAGGAGATCAGAAAGCACTTAACAAGACAAAGTTACCTACGAACAGATGGCACAACACCTCTACCGGCTGCTGTGCCTCGGCCAGCAGCTTGAGCCTGTAAAACAAAAAAGAATGAAGTTAAAGTTTAGGAACAGATGCACAGAGACGAGTTAAGGACATTACTAAATAAATAAGCAAACAAAAGCACCATCCTTTGGGTTTCATCTTAGTTGCAACTTACTTTGGCTCGCATTGCAACAGCTCTACCTCTGCCAACTCCTAGAGATGAGCTCTTACCCTTCAAGATTCGAAAGAAGTCAGAAAGCTTCTAACAAGTGCATAAAGTAAAAAAAATCATAACTTGTAATCAATGCATACCTTGATTTTAGCATCCAGACGCTTGAACATAGGAGCATTCTTCAACATGTCTGGTATGACCATAAACCTGTCAAAAATAAGTTCATTTTTAATAGATGAACAAAGTTTTTCTCTTCTAAACATAATCACACCTTGCTTCCCTCGAATACCACCTCAATCCCTTCAAAAACAAGGGGACCATGCAAAGAAAGAGAGTTACGTAATACCTGACTTTACTGCCTCGAATGAAAACATGCTCAAGCTGTGATACTTTTCCGTCCTGAAGCCAAGTCAAAGCAATCATCTTAAAATCAGTTACAAATTGACATAAATTAGGACAAAAAGAAACTAAAGCCAAAGGGAACGTGAACATGCTTTAGGATATCTACTCATGAAAATAGAAATGAGAGGAACATGCACTTCAATCACAATGAATTTTCTCAGAAAGAAAATCGGGAAATAAAAAAACTGGGTGAAATTCAGGTCTCCATTATTCAACTTTTAAGCATGAGGAAATTAGATATATTAAATAAAGAACCATGATGCAAGAAGTAAGGAACTGACATTTATATGATACGGTTTCAGGCTTAAATTTGATTGGAACAGACACAACAATCAATAAACAAAATCCAAGGACAACGCAAGATATAGAAGTGAGTGATTGCCAAGTCATATCCTCAAATTCAAACATTGAACTCCATCCATTTGTTCCTCTCTCCTACGATTTAACCCGTTTATTAACTTAAGCTCAGAATTCCGGCACACTATACCTAAATCTAACATCAAATGTTGAAGCATTTTTTATGTTTATCAATACTGACCATAAATCCTAAACCCTAAATTCCTCGGATCCAAATAAAAATAAACAAATCAAACTCATTACTGAACAGATAAAGATAAAAAAGAACAGGAAAAGTGAGAATGAGAGGCACTTTGGCAGTGAAGGTGATATTCTCGAGCTGGCAATTCCAGTTATCCTCGCACTCGACCATGCTTCCTCTGTAAAGCTCTCCGCTCTTGAGCTCCACCGTTACCACGTGACCCGACGCCTCGTGTAGTAGCTTCACCGGTATGCCCAAGCTCCGGCTCATTGTTTCCCTCTATTCTTTCTCGCTCGCCCGCTCTGCCTCCGTAGAAATCGCAAAACCCTAGCGTTAGAACAAATAATTTGCCCGATATCTACTCGAATTATTAGGGTATATTTGTAATTCTGAGATATAGTGAGGACAACTTCTGAAAATTCCATTGCTAACAAATGAATGAATCAACGGCGTTGATTTATTTTCTGATTATTCCTGTGCCGTTGGATTATTTGCGGATCGGGCGGGACTGTTTTTTCTTCCTTCAAATTACAATAGTTTTTTTTTTTTTTTTTAGTTTTTACAATAAAGGTATGAATTTTTTTTTTTTAAGTTTTCCTCACAATCAAATATTATATTTATATAATTAATTATTATATTATTAAATAATTCATTAATAAATTATATTTAATTAAATAATTGAATTCATATACAATAAAATTTGAACTTAAAACTTTAAAGATCTAAATTTCCTATTTATTACTAAATCCTGACTTTATTGATATTAATTTTATTTTTTTATACTAATAAAATATAAAGGTATGAATTATGATGCATATAGTAATGAAATGAATAAATATCAATCACGTTAAAATAATTTAAGTAACTTAAGTTGATGTTGTAATCGGTTTCATTATTGAAAATCTCAATTTCGTATCCCAATTGTAATATAAAAAATTAAAAAAAATTTTCAAAACTTGAAAATGATGTAGAGTAACATGTGAATATATTCACACCTTTGGATAAAAACATAACTAAGATTTATAAAAATATCATATTATATATCAACCTAATTTGATTTATATTTTTTTAATTATTAATTTATTTATAACTCTTAAATCTTTATTTATTTAAGTCACATAAAAAGAATATTATACGACTAAATATTATGAACATATAATCTTTATAAGTCTAACTTTTATGTATGTCATATGAATTAATATTTAGTTGACAACTTTATTTATTTAAATAATGTAAATAAAATATTATGTGTCTAAATATTATTAACATGTAATCTTTATGAATCTAACTATTCCATATGTCATATGAATTAATATTTAGTTGACACCTAATTTAATCTATCATATTCACTTGTTTTAGATACACCACTTATGATTAATTGTATTTTGATTAAAAATTGTGATTGGTTCGTGAAAATGATAAATAACACTGGTGATATATGACATTGTAAAAACAGAAGGAAACAACTGTAGCTAGAAAAATGTGATTGATCTTTCTAATGGCCATCTTTTATGCTTTTATTTTTGGCCATTTCAATTCAAAACATTTATTCTTGAAATCAATGGAAGATTTTCAAAAATATTGTTTCAATTTTTTTTTAGTGTTTCACCTTTCAATTCAATATTATATCATGCAAAACACATAATTCTAAATTTTGTATTTGTTAAATTTTTAATAGATTGTATTTGTTGATTAAGTTATTAACGCTTTTCAAAAGCTGGAATTTATAATGTACAATGAAAGAAAACAAATTGATTGAATAAAGTAATTACTAGTTAAACCAAAGGTTTTTAACTTCATTTTTACAAAAGCAAACATTAATCTTTTCATAACAGGAAAGATTAAAAAAAAAAGTCTTAACAAACTTTTCCTTTCTTCTTCTTTACAAAATACATATGCAAAGAAATTTAATTCATACTAATTTTTATATTATATATAAATAAATATATTATCAATCATTTACAATTTATAATTTCAAATTTCAAAAGCTGTCTCTATATAAATTATTATGAAAGAATTTAAATAAAAATTATGAAAAATTTGAATTATAAAAATAAAATTACATGCAAAATCTTAATGAGAGAGTCAATTTCGTGTTTATAAATTACATACACTCTTAAAAATATATATTATTTTAGTATGAAAATTAAGATTTACAAATTTAATATATCATGAAAATTTTTTCATATTTGATTTTGAAACTTTATGATATCAAACTTTTGTAACAAAATTTAATTGCTCTATCTTTTATAAAAAAATAAATCGTAAATATATATTTAATAATTATTTAATTTTAAAAAATTTTAAATTAAAAAAATGTAGTTTATCAAATTTAATTTTAAATTAAGATAAAAAAAGTTAGTATAATTTTAAAATTTAGATATGTATATAATTTTAAATTGAGATAAAATATATATATTTTTATTTTAAATCATTAAAAAGATAAAGATAAAAATTTGATAAAGAACGTAGGATTAACCACAAACTTTTAAATTTATGTGAATTTCAGACTTTTTATAATTTTGTATGATTTATAAGATTTAAATATTTAATTTTTAAAAACTATTTAAATTTTTTATTTCATATATATATGAATAAGAGTTATGTATGAAATATATATTTTTTATATTTAAATTAAGATAAAACTTATATATTTTAAAAAATTTAAATAAATGTAAATTTTAAAATTTTTAAAAATTAAATAAATAATTAAATAAAGTTACTTAAAATTATTTTATATGTCAATAATATAAATTATTTACTTAAATGTTTGTGTAAGTAAATTTTATCAAATTTTATATACTTTATAATATAATATTGTATACGATATGATAAGATTGGAGCGTGGGGCGGTGGGGGACAAAATGTTATCGCTCGGTGATGGCAATTTCGATATGTCTATAGATAGCAATATTGGCTAAAATAAAGAAACAAAAAAAGAGTTTTTTTTATAGCAAAATGGACATTTTGATGACGTTTAAGTCTGAATCAAGCAGTTGCGGTGTCACATGGAACGTATGTTCGATTGATTTCGAGATATTTCTAAGATCGGTTGACAACCGTCGGATCATCATGGCTTTTTCTTTCTTTGCTAAATGGGTCAGTGCAGCTGGAGCATATGCTTTGTCTCTTTGCAGAGGTAACCGAAATCAGAAATAAATAATAAAAGCAAAAAAAACAAAATTTGAAAAGAAAGTGGGCCCAAAACCAACGGCCTAGGTTTTCTTGATGGAGGCAATAAATAATAAAAGTAAAAAAGATAATTTGAAATGAAAGTGGGCCCAAAAACCAACGGCCTAGATTTTCTCGATGGAGGCTTCCACGCAAATATATACGGGGTCTGGCGCTAAGCCTTTTGTGTCACACTTGCTCTCTGTTTAAACAAACTTTGCTTGCTTAAAGAGAGATGGAGCTGAGAGGTTGAATGCTGGACTGCAAGGGATTGGGAAGATGCTGGTTTCGTTGGGTCTCCTCGCTACGCCTTCTGCTTTTGGGTCTTTCGCACCTTTATCAAACAACACCCGCACTTCGGTAATTCAACTTTTTCTTTTACTCAAAATTCTTTAAAAAATTTTTTATGATTAGCATTCTACATCTTCGATCGTCGTTTAGCCTTAACGATTCATTCTTATGACTTTCTCAATTACGTTTTACGTTTGGACAGAGTTCCAAGGCAACCAATCATCAAATCGCTAAACAACTAGCGGTTAATTCTAGACGTGGATCCCAAAAGTTGCTACGGCAAATTGTATTTCCATGTAACTCAGTGTATGGAAGGGTACGATTTTGCAACTACAACATTTATCTTTTCAGTTTCTTTTTTTTTATGTGCATAATTTCGTTTTTTATTCGTCTTTCATAAATATTAGCATTAATTAGCACTTGTGAAGGTATTTCTTACCCGATGAAATAGAAAATTGATGGAATCCTTGGCTATCTTTGGTGTTAAATATGGAATTTGCTAGTATTTTAGTATTGAATAAGTTATCATCTCTGTGAGTATGCTCTACTTTTCCCTCCAGGTCAGTTATGGTTCCCCAATCTCAGCTGTTCTGATTGAGGATAGTTCCACAATGGCAACCTCTGAGGAAGACACTGAAAACATCGGTATCTTGGGCGTTGATTCTGCTCTCCGACCATTTAAAGATCACTTTGAATATAGAATTAAGAAATACGTGGACCAGAGAAATCTCTTTGAAAAGTATGAGGGAGGCCTTGAGGAATTCGCAAAAGGTGATTTCCGTTTTTCCATTTTCATCAAGCCTACCCGCTTTTGAATTTTCTCTTGAAGACCAAAGGCTACTTCAATGATGAAATTGCTTGCTCTTAGGAGCTAAGTAGTAAAATCAATATTTATATCAGAATGCTCAAACGAAATTTGTTTTCTACCCTCTTTTATAGGTTATTTGAAATTTGGATTTAACAGAGAAGAAGATGGAATTGTCTACCGTGAGTGGGCTCCTGCTGCTCAGTGAGTCTTTTGGTTTCTGAAAATTCAAGTTATCAGCTTTGTTATCCTATTACATATTTTTGATTGCTTAGCTAGAGCCTCTTTTTGCATCATGTAGGGAAGCTCAACTTATTGGAGACTTTAATGGATGGGATGGTTCCAACCACAAGATGGAAAAGAATCAATTTGGTGTTTGGAGTATTAAAATTCCTGATTCTGGAGGAAATCCTGCTATTCCTCATAATTCAAGAGTCAAGTTTAGATTCAAGCATAGTGATGGAGTTTGGATAGATAGGATTCCTGCTTGGGTTAAGTATGCCACTGTAGACCCTAACAGATTTGGAGCACCGTATGATGGTGTGCATTGGGACCCTCCTCCTTCAGAAAGGTGCAATCTATTCACATGTTACTTGATTTATTTTGATACAGATGATATTTTCCATTTAAAGTAGAAAAACAACTTCGTGGTGCAGGGTTTTTTCTTAATCCACAATTAAAATTCATTTTTTTGGTAACATATTACTTGGTAAATCAGTTTGATATTGCTTGAGACGAGAAACTTGCTGCCATTATCCTCTGAAGTTCATCAAAGTTAAAAGGATGCTAATTTTCTTCTTTTAATATATGTGATTGAGAAATTGTGCCTTTTAATGCATCCTTTATTCATAATTCAGGTATGAATTTAAGTACTCTCATCCTCCAAAACCCAAAGCCCCAAGAATATATGAAGCTCATGTTGGAATGAGTAGCTCGGAACTACGAATTAATTCATACAGAGAATTTGCTGATGATGTTTTACCTCGTATTCGAGCAAATAACTATAATACCGTACAATTGATGGCTGTAATGGAGCATTCCTATTATGCATCATTTGGATACCATGTTACCAACTTTTTTGCTGTAAGCAATAGATCTGGAACTCCTGAGGACCTCAAATATTTAATTGATAAAGCCCACAGCTTAGATCTACAGGTCTTAATGGATGTTGTTCACAGCCATGCAAGTAACAATGTTACCGATGGACTCAATGGCTTTGATGTTGGCCAAAGTTCACAGGATTCGTATTTTCACACTGGAGAAAGAGGTTACCACAAGTTATGGGATAGTCGAGTGTTTAATTATGGTAATTGGGAAGTCCTTCGCTTCCTTCTTTCGAACTTGAGGTGGTGGCTTGAGGAGTTCAAATTTGATGGGTTTAGGCTTGATGGAGTGACTTCCATGTTGTATCATCACCATGGCATCAACATGGCATTCACTGGGAATTACAATGAGTATTTCAGTGAGGCAACTGATGCAGATGCTGTTGTTTATTTAATGCTGGCCAATTCTCTGATACATAGCATCTTGCCAGATGCGACTGTAATTGCCGAAGATGTTTCTGGTATGCCTGGACTTGGTAGGCCTGTCTCTGAAGGGGGAATTGGCTTTGACTACCGCCTGGCTATGGCCATCCCTGACAAGTGGATTGATTACTTGAAGAATAAGAATGATGAAGAATGGTCAATGAAGGATTTATCCTGTAGCTTGACAAATAGGAGACACACTGAGAAGTGTATATCCTATGCTGAGAGTCATGATCAGGTATAAACTGTGAGGAATTTTCTTTTATTTTCACTAATTTATTTCTAAATTTGGTTAAATCATTTCTTTATGGCTCTAGAACTTGTTCTTCTTCAAAATGTCTCAATAGTGGCTTTATAACTAACTTTCAGATGATGACAGAAAGATACATAGCATAAAGAAAGCTTGATTAATAAAATGGTTACTCTTCCTTTCCTGAATCTGATACCATATTTATACTTCTTAATGTTCCCTTTTCTTTTAATGGTTTGTATATTTTGCTATTTGTCATGCTTCTGAATATTATTTTGTGTTCGGTGCAGTCTATTGTAGGTGACAAGACACTAGCATTTTTCTTAATGGATAAAGAAATGTACTCTGGGATGTCATGTTTAACAGATGCCTCTCCTAGCGTTGAGCGAGGGATTGCACTTCACAAGGTTGGTGCTAAATCAAATCCTAGAGGCTCCTCTCTTCATGGTTTCCTTAATGTCCTAGAGGAATTGGGGAAGGGGAATTTGCAAGAGCCAAAGCATTCATAATTTACCTCTGCATAGATAATCTTTTTATTATTTAGTCATTATTCTCATTGTTTCTCTCTCACTCTCTTGCATTCTTTATTTTTTTTAAATTACTTTTGCAGATGATACATTTTATTACTATGGCATTAGGAGGAGAGGGCTACCTTAATTTTATGGGAAATGAGGTAAACACTTGGGCTCAACTGTGTGTACTGGGTACATCAAGATTTTATTTGGTTGGATGTTAGAAAAATTTCAAGTCTATAAAGCTAGAAGGTTTTTAGAGCTATGATTTATCAGGATGAATATCTGCCAAGGCCGTTTAAGTCACAAATACATGAATGTATTCAGTAAGTAGGTAAAATGCATTAAAAAATGAAGGGGTGATTGGCTATATCTGCCTAGAGGGCAATTTTCTGAATGAGGGTTTGTTCTCTTTTTTTAACAAATAAGGTTACAAAAGAACCATCCCTCTGGAGACGTGAATAATTTCTCCTGTTTTCTTTAGATATCTCTTCTGCATGTTTGTACAGTTTGGACATCCTGAATGGATTGACTTTCCGAGAGAAGGCAATGGGTGGAGTTATGAAAAATGCAGAAGACAGTGGAGCCTGGTGGATACTGATCACTTGAGATACAAGGTCTGAGGTCATTTTCATTATTTAGAAGTTTTTTGAAGTTTCTTTGCTTTATTCCATCCCTGACCCTTTTCCTTGTCCATTTCCAGTGGACAACTGGAGTATTTGCTAAGGTTTGAACTTTTTAGTTTTAGGACATAAGTAGTGAATCTGGGCCAAGAGTCCATTTAGATCTCTTACAACCTGTTCATTTCAATACCATAATGCTAAGAGCCAGATCAAAGTCCAAGGTGAAAGGTCAAGAATCTCGCTGAACATGGACCATGGTTGGTGATTATTGAGGAAAAACTGATAGTTCCCACCTGCCTTTTTAACTTTGAAGACACCTGTATAATTGATTTTACAAAATTGCATCTGAATCTTCTTCTCTATTTTTGCACCCTAATCATTGTTGTATAATATTTTTATCTTTCTTTATTGAGGAGTGGTTTGTTCTTCCTATGCAATTTTGCGTAATTTTTTTTCTTTGCATTTGAGCTTTGCAGTTCATGAATGCATTTGACAGAGCTATGAATGCACTTGATGATAAATTTCCATTCCTTTCATCAACAAAACAGATAGTGAGCAGCACTGATGAAGAAGACAAGGTAAATCTACAATTCCAGTTGGCTTTTAGAGTAAGACCTCTAACTGATGATGCAAAATATATGCATATTGTTAGTAGTGAAAGTCATTTGACATTGTTAGAATTGAAACTTTCATTATTAGAAAGAACAAATCATTTATTTATCACTCACTTATATGGTCATACAAAGACGAAAAGACCACAATGGCTAGCAAACAAGAATATTGGTTTCTTTGATTTGAGTTTCAAACATATGTGGTATATAGTATAGAAGGTTTCTTGTTCTTTCATCATGCTAATGTGCTTTTTCTTTCTTCTTTTTAACCCCAATGGATAGAGAGAATGAACCCCACCATTTCTTAGTTCTTATCTGCCTTATAGCCTTCCCTTGTCTTGGCTGTAACCACTTCAGTTATGGTGGATATAGTTTTAACAATATTTAAGAACAATCACAAAGGCATTGATTAATGGTTTCTCAATTTAGGTTATTGTCTTTGAGCGGGGAGATCTGGTTTTTGTGTTCAACTTTCATCCAGAGAATACATATGATGGGTATGTATGCTTTGAATTGTGAAAGTATCTATTTATTTATTTCTTTATCTGTGTGTTTGTACAAGTAAAGATTATATAGATGGAGACAAATCTATGTTTGCTAGAAAGTAATTCCATGCACCTTAAAACTTTTAGACTTACCATTATGTGAAACATACAGGTACAAAGTGGGGTGTGACTTGCCAGGGAAGTATAGAGTTGCCCTGGATAGTGATGCTTGGGAATTTGGTGGGCTTGGAAGAGTAAGGAACTCCTGCTATTGTTGTTATGCTTTCCTTTTGCTATTGATGAAAGAGTGGTGTTGTTATCTGGTTTGATTTCTTGCAATATAATTGGGATTTTACAGCTACTAATTTCATGATTTTTCTTGGGACTTGATGAGAAAAATAAAATAGTTGATTGTTTCCTTTGGTTTGGGAGTGACCAATGGTCCTGTAAGTTGGTAACCTCAATATATCTACCCTGATACTGGCAACTAATGAAATCAATTGCATCTAAAGACTCTCTTCCTCTTTTATCCTGGTAATGCTATAATTAATTCTTCTGGCAGGTGGGTCATGATGTGGACCATTTCACATCTCCTGAAGGAATACCAGGTGTGCCTGAAACTAATTTCAACAATCGCCCTAATTCTTTCAAAGTACTCTCGCCAGCTCGCACATGTGTGGTATGTTTATCTCTTCATGGTCTTTCTCATTATATTATTTCTTATCATGTACATCCATCTCACCCTGCCACCAATGCTATTCTGATATGGTAATTTTGTTGCTTTTATTTTAGTGGCATGGAAATGCACCTGAGTTCCTACTTACCATGCTTGGCATTGATAATTTTGAATATTTATTTTTGAGCATTAAGCTTTTGGAACTTTCAATGGCATCATGGACACCAAATCTCTTCCTGCATCTATGGTCTTTGCTTCTTCCTTTGAAGGAAAATATGGATTGACAGATATTTTACAAATTTTCCCCAGGTTTACTATAGAGTGGAAGAAAGTCCAGAAGAAACTAATGATGGCAACTTGGGCAGTGTCAATGAGACATTACAAGCCGAATCAGCAAAGCAGGAGAATATTGAAGAGTTAGCTACCGTGGTAGATATCATGGAGATCAAATCTCTGCCTGTGTCTATGGCCCTTGAGCCTTCCTTAGGATGAAAACATGAATTGACAGATTGCTTATAAATTTTCCTCAGGTTTATCAGGGAGAAAGTCTCGGAGAAACTAATGACTATGACTTGGCTGGTGTCAGTGCAAAATCGCCAATAGATGGAGCAAAGCAGGAAAATATTGAAGAACCAGCTTCTGTGCAAGGCAAAAGGATTGTTGCAAGTAAACCAGATGATCCAGAACAGGAAGAAAAGAAGATGGAGGATGGAACAGTAGACGACTAAGCTTTTTGGCTCCAGCGCAACTCCAACAGAGCTAAATATAATAAGCCTATACGTGCTAGTGTGTTTTGAGAATGATAGCAGTTGTGAGGAGTAAGAAGGGAATTTTGTTGGGGCTGTAAATTTTACGTTGAGAATAATATAGTCTGCTTAATAACTAGTTATGCTACAGAAAGAGAGAAGTCTAATGATCAGAGGGAATAAAAATCTGTGGAGCACTTGAATAGTTCATGGAGCTGAAATAGTTTAATAAAATTGTCACGTCTATCCTCAAAGCATTGAAACTATCAACAGTGTTTGAGATTTGGGTCCTGTTTAATCAAATTGTTTGAGTTTGATGGATTTGGACGAGATGATGAATGATAGCAGTCCATAGCTATGATCCAAATTAACTCTGACCTAATTCAACAGTGGTTTAGAGGAAGTGGTCCATTCGTCGGACCCAAAATTGGACCGTCTTAAATTAGCTCAATTGATTGTATCCTGCTTGAAGGGTCCTTCTATGCCCTTGGCCCAATTGAGTACTTGTTTGATTCTTGACGCAATTTGAAGGAAGCAAGCATCGTTATAAAAGGAAAAAGAGTCGAGACGGAACACGGGAGGAACGAGTTTGGTCTTTCCGTGGAACAACGTTACATAGAAATGGAGCAGAAGAATAAGTACAGCATAATAGTACCAACATATAACGAGCGCCTCAATATTGCTCTCATCGTCTATCTCATCTTCAAACATCTCCGGTGTTTATTTCCCAACTCCAAATCTCTCTTTTTGCTTTTTCTAATTTATCTTTGTCTTTGATTGCTGAACTCGTAATTTTAGTCTTTTGAGATCTGATTACTTTTCTTGAATTCGGCCCTTTTATTTTCTCCTCTTGTCCTGATCGATATGGTGTTAGAATTGTATGTTTTTATTTCTTATTCTGCAAATGATTTGAATTGGATTATGAATATAGAGAAAAAAAAAAAGGCTTTTGATTCGTGTTTTAGAAAGTAGACTTACAATTATTCTGGAATAATTGTCGGGAAACAAATTGAAACATCTGTTGTTTTTGAGATAATTCTGGTTCTTCATGATATTTCGTTTCGCAATAGGGCCTATGTGTGTGAAATTCAACCCTGGGAGTTTAATCAGTGATCCTATTTTTGTCCTTTAAGCATTTTTCTTAAATCTTTTGTAAATTAAAATGCCTATATGTTAAAAATTCATAAGTACGGCTTTCTTGGAAGTAAAATTCTCACAAAAAATGAGTTGACATCATGGACGGGAAACATGGAGTATTTGAATGATTCAATTCATACCCACTTTTCCCTTCATGTGATTTTGCTTCTTGTCTACAGTGATGTGTAATTGATTTATTTCATCAAAATGAGTAACAAAGTCACTGCCTAATATTGTGATATTGTGATATCTTAATATCTGTCTTATGTAAGCTGTTGTAACTTTTCATGCCAGGAGTAGGGATGTTGATTTTGAAATAATTGTTGTGGATGATGGGAGCCCTGATGGTACTCAAGAAGTTGTGAAACAACTGCAGAAACTGTATGGTGAAGATCATATTGTTAGTTCCATGCTAATAAACCTTCTAAATTGGATCTATGTGTAATCTGTTTCGCTGATCAATTCCTCTTCTTACCTCTGCTTCTGTCTCCTTGATGATGCAGCTATTGAGACCTAGACCTAAGAAGCTTGGGTTGGGTAAGTAAAAATTGTTCCCTTTCAGGAGTGATAGCTGGAGCTGGCCTTTGAATTTTTATTGGTTTCAGGAACTGCTTACATACATGGTTTGAAGCATGCTTCTGGAAATTTTGTTGTAATCATGGATGCCGATCTATCACACCATGTAAGTGTGATGATGCTTTGTATGCCTCTTCTACCAGTTAAATCCATTTACAATTCATTTCCTGTTTTCTATCGCACGTATGATCTCTTCAATCTTGTTTTGCAGCCAAAATATTTGCCGAGCTTCATTAAGTAAGAAATCTTTTGGTTGATTCTTTTAGGGTTCACAATTATGCTTGATGACTCAAATCCTTCTAATGTGTTGGTCAATGGCATCATTATAGGAAACAGCTGGAAACTGGTGCCAGCATAGTTACAGGAACACGATACAGCAAAGGCGGTGGCGTGCATGGATGGAATCTGATGCGCAAGCTAACAAGTAGGGGAGCCAATGTTCTTGCACAGACTCTTTTGTGGCCTGGTGTATCGGACTTGACTGGATCTTTCAGGTATAAGAACTAATTAACAGGAATGGGCAGACTGTCATAGCTTTAGAGCTAAAATTTCTTTTTTCCTTCTTTTTTAAAGGCTTTATAGGAAATCAGTGCTTGAAGATGTCATTAGCTCCTGTGTTAGCAAGGGGTATGTGTTTCAAATGGAAATGATTGTTAGGGCTTCAAGAGAAGGCTACCACATTGAAGAGGTATAATTCATTTCTATAGTTGCTTCTGAATAAACTGAAAGATATTCTAAACTTAAGAATGGTTTTTGTTATCTTTGACCTGTTTGTGCTAGGTTGAGTACTTGGTTGTTTGCAAGTATAGTCAAAGTCTTTGTTATCTTCTGTTAATATCCATACAATTTACTTTAAAAATCTAAGACAAGAAATGGACTTCAGTACTACTGCCTTTGAAACTTCCACAACTAACTTGAATGCTGATTTGTTGTACTCAAATTATTCTTTTATCTGAATCTCTGTGAAGATAGTTTAACTATTTTGCTGTGTCAATGGGATTTCATAAAGGAGAGTACCATGAACTCTTACACTTGAATGCTCTGTCGTCCATTTAACCAGATTGTACAGAAATTATCTAGATTGGAGTTTGCTCATATGGTTTACCTTTTTCTTTTCCTGTCCCCTGCTTCATCTTTAAGCCAATAAAATGTGATGTTCAAACATCATAAATCATGCAGCTAAACAACCTTTTAATACTTCACATTTTCATTGATTTGATTTTCTACTGTCTACAGGTTCCAATAACTTTTGTTGATAGAGTATTTGGAAGTTCAAAGCTTGGCGGATCTGAAATTGTAGAGTATCTAAAAGGCCTTGTATATCTTTTGGTCACAACATGAGACCTTCCGACAAATATAACCAACACGATAATATCTTCATCTGTTTACTTCAAAAAGTGATTTGTTGAGATTCATAGTGTTGACTTACAGCAAACAACTTTTATAGCTTGTTCTTAGAAGTTCCCTTATATAACCTGACTTTTGATGGCAAATTTTGTTGTAGATCTCAAAAATGTATTTTGCTACTGGATGGTTGGCAAACAATATGTTTACCGGGGAATTGTTATTCAATGGAAATTATCAAATGAAGAGGCAAAAGCTAGGGTTGCATTTTACAGGATGAAGGTTGTGCCACTTTCATCTAATTGTCTTTTTCTTCTGTAACTTTGCCAGTTATCGTCATTTTTTGTTAGTTTGTGGTTACTTTGGTCTTCAAATTTGTGAAATGAAAAAGAAAACGTTCGGCACAAATTGAGGAATGAGATCGAAAATCCCTCTACCCCTAGTGGACTAGTTGTTGCTCTTCGGTTTTTGCCATACGTTGTATGTTGCTGCCGTGCTATCTAGAAATTGCAGGCAAAAACAAGAACTTGGATGTTCAGATTACATAAGGAGAAGATGAAACGAAGAAACTTCATTCATGTAGAATGATCTCTGCTTCTATAGTCGAACAAGCTGAATACTAGAACATTTGAGCATCTCCTATTCATTTATTGAGAAACAAAAAACAAAACGGGACAATATTTGCAGCATCAAACTAGATCGAAACATAATAATAATTAACATCCATGAAAAATGAAATATAATCACAAATTTCCTAAAATCAAAATGAAAAATGCCAACCTAAATTTCCAATTTTCAGACCCTTCGAACTCTTCTAGCCACAGTTTTCTTTTCGGTGCCAATCATAGACGACTTGTAATTGTTGACAGCAAGAGGAGGCTTCTTATTCTCTTTGCTCATGCTTCGAAGCAGATACCTAGGAGTCTGAGTCCCGTTCCTCTCCACGGAATAAGCAGCAGACACTGATTTCCTCAAGCATTCAAGCTTCTTCGACTCTCTTCTCTTTGAAGATTCAACTGTTACTCCAAGATGGTAAACCGCCCTTGATTCAGTCCCGGTTTCGCCTTTCTTTCTCTTAAGCCTCTCATTTCTCCTCGCGGAGTATTCATCGTAAAACCTGCCTCTCTCAAACAGAGGACTGCAGTTGACGATGAGACTAGTCTCACCAAAACCAGCATTTTCTGTTTCCCCATTTCCAAGTTCATCTCTAACCATCCTAGCCAAAGCCCGTAACTCGCAAGAAATGGATTGATAGTCGGGTCGAATCTCGTATTCTTCCATGGCGCAAGTACGAATCGGCTTCTGGGATTTCGTTAAAAAACCTTTAACAACAGACAAACATTCATTCCCGATTAAAAACCAAAGAGAAAGAGAGAGAGAGAGAGAGAGAAGATCCATCTTTTGCAATAAAAATTTAAAGTTTATTTATATAAGTTTTTAACCGGAGATACCCGGTGGGGTTTGCAGGGAGGTTGAGTTCGATCGAAGGACGCGACCGGGTCGTGGGCAAATAGGCGATTTAGCAAGCGGAGGCTTACGATCAGGTTTCATCTTAGACATGATATCTTTTCTTTTCTCTTGCCAAGAACTGCGGATATTCAGAAAGAGAAACAAAGTATTAACGAAGAATGTTATAGGAAAGATTGAGACTTGAGAGAGCAACCTACGCTTGAATTATCGAGATTGTTTCTTTTTTTGTTTTTTTGCGTTCGTTTGATTCCTTGGATTTTTTTCCAACTTTTTCAGTCTTTCTGTCTATTTTTATTGTGAGACAGATGTGAGGTTTGAACTTTGAAATTGAAAAGGGCAGAGAAGGGGAGCGTTTCAAACGGTCATGTCCTTGATCTGACGGTTTACAATTAATTCGACCTAAATGGTAGGTTAGGTGTCATCGACATTTGGCAGTTTCCATGGTACCCCTGTTTTTTTTTAAAAAAAAAACAACAAAGACCCAGTTATTAGGCCCAAAAAAGCCACATCCAAAGTCCAAACAAATACTAATCCAGAATCCAACTCCAGGCCCACCAAGGTTAAAAGCAAACCCCCTTTAAGAGAGTAGGTTTCAAAAACCATTTTTTGTAAACGTATTCAATTTATATATTTTTTATAATTATTTATTAAGTTTAATAAATAATTTTAAACAGTATTTTTATGTTAGTCTATAAAATAAATCGAATACAAATAAAAATTTATTATATTTGTAAATAAATTCATTTAAAATTTGTTAAAAAATTATTCATTTAGAGTTCGTTTATATTCGTTTATTATTAATTTTATAATTATATATTTATTGGTTTAAATTTATTTGAATATAATTTTTTTATTAATCATAAATATATTTATTTATTATTTATGAATATATTTATCTATATATATTCATAAACATGTTTATTTAATATTTAAGAATAAATTCGTTTAACTTAAATAAACCTAATACAAATCGAATATTTTATCATTTAAACAAACCAAACTCAAATGTAATAAATATTTTTTTTTATCAAACACCAACAATGCTAAAAAAAAAATTCATTCATTCAATCATTCATTATTATTTTTTTGCATCCTTACCTTTTTCTCATAAGTTTAATAAATAATTTTTTTATCAAACACCAACAATTCTAAAAATAAAAACATTCATTCAATTATTCATTATTATTATTCTTTTTTACATCCTTACCTTTTTCTGAGAAGTTTGATAAATAATTTTTTTATCAAACACCAACAATTATAAAAATAAAAACATTCATTCAATCATTCATTATTTTTTTACATCCTTACCATTTTTTCTGAGAAGTTTGATAAGTAATTATTTTATCAAACACCAACAATTCTAAAAATAAAAACATTCATTATTTATTTTACATCTTACTTATTTCCGAGAAGTTTGGTGTGAGCCCACTTAAGTAAATTCTTCTATATAATGATCTTTGACTAATGACATCTTTGGGGAAGACTGTACCAAAGTCATCTGATGATTTTCGAAGGCGTTTCCTACCTTCGGCTTTTTCTTTCTTTCTTCCTTTTTTTTTTTTCCTCTTTGCATTTTTTTTCCAGTCTCCAAATTTCTCCCAATAAAACTTTCCATGTCCTTTTAATGGGGAGACATGCATGAAGAAGTTCTCTCGTTTTTCACAAGTCATCCACCATTTTTTTTTTTTTTGTTTTAAGTCATATAAACAAATAATATAGAGTATTTGTTTCCAGGGCTTTTAATTTTTCCAAGTAAGGAATTTAATTCTCAAATCCAACAACTAAACAAGCAGTTTCCAAGCAATATTCAAACCACAACTGTTAATGACTAGATACAGCTTCATATTCATTTTCCTGATGATTGTCAAATATTTGTAAATTTTATATTTAATGCACTATAAATATATAAATATTATACATTATTAGTGCATCATAATTAAGTTAATATTTCATTAACAAGTAAAATTAAACCTTAAAAATTAAATTAAAAATAATTTTAAATTTATTAATTAATGATATGATTATTTGAGATGTGCTAATAGTATATAAAATTATGTATTAGCTATATATCAAATATAAAGTATTAATATATGTAGCGTAATATCAACACCACTCAAAGCTACACAATATTATTAAACCTAAACATCTACTTAACTTTCTTTATAATAATAAATTATATTAAAGAGGTTAATTTTTTTTTTTGGATGATACCAAACTTTGTGTTTTTGTTTTAGGGGCAAAGGCAAGCATGCACTTGCAAACCTGGTTTAACATAATTAAATGTGTATATATATATATACCATTAATAAAGAATTTTTTTTAGCTTTTTCTGAGAACTGTTCAATTATTATTATTATTATTATTATTAACGAGTATCCAAAAATCGAAAAAGCTTTATGACTGTTGAGTTTGCCTATATAAGGGACTAACTCCTCTAAGAATAATGAAGCATTTGTAATAACCCAAAGTGCCAGCTAGTTCTCGTCTAACACCAGACTCTTATCTTCTCCTTTTTCCTCTTTTGAATCAATTAGGTCTTTCCTACTTGAGTGATAATGGAGATCATGTGGTCTCATGTGTGGCTTTGTGCGATATCTTTGCTTGTCGTAAGTGTGACCATGTGGATTTACAGGTGGTGGAACCCTAAATGTAAAGGCATACTACCTCCAGGTTCGATGGGACTCCCACTTCTTGGAGAGACCCTTAGTTTTCTTGTCACAGGCAACTCCATAGACATCCATCCTTTTGTTAAGGAAAGAATGAATAGGTAAGGATACGATCATCCCCCGAACATGCCGAAAACAAAACTTATTTAATTTTAAACTATATATTGCCTTCTTCTCAAAGCACTTTATCTTCACCAAATGGTTACAGGTATGGTCCATTGTTCAAAACAAGTTTAGCAGGTCGATCAATTGTCATATCGACGGATCCCGATTTCAACAATTTATTGTTTCAACAAGAAGGAAAACTTGTTGAGATGTGGTACCTGGATTCCTTCGCCAAGCTGCTTCGCCAAGATACAACAGCAGCAAGTGGCTATGTACACAAATATCTCAGGCACGTAGTTTTGAATCACTTTGGTGTTGAGACTCTTAAAGGGAAGCTTCTGCCTCAGTTAGAATATACCATAAATCGTGGATTGCAGGAGTGGGCTAAGCTGCCAGAGATAGAAGTAAAAGACCAATGTGCTGCTGTAAGTAATTCTCAGTCTCTAGCTTCACCAAATACTATTAGTGTAGTACTATTTTCTTACACTAATTCATATATTAAAGACATATGGCTAACGTACTTAAAACAGTAACAGATTTTTTTTTTTTTGCGGAAAACAATTCTCTCTATTGTTGCAGCTAACATAATCTTCTAAATTGCAGATGATATTTGGATTTACTGCAAAGCACATGTTTAGTTATGAACCAGAAAAGTCAGAAGAAAATATAGTCGGAAATTTCAGCAACTTCTTGGAAGGACTTATGTCATTTCCTTTACGCATCCCTGGTACTGCTTTCTACAGATGTGGAAAGGTAACCAATTCAAGAAATTTAGGTTTAATTCTCTCCATCCAGCAAGTAGCTGGCCTTCTAAAATTCCCAAAACGAAATTAAAATAATTATTAATTTACCATATGCATGCAGAGGCAGCAAAAAATAATAAAACTAATAACTAATTTACTGGAAGAGAGAATGAAGTCTCATCCTGAAGCCAGAGGAGATTTTCTTGACCAATTTGTGGAAGACATGAGAACAGAAGCATTCTTGACTAAGGAGTTTGCCACCCATGTTTTGTTTGGAATCCTCCTTGCTAGCTTTGAGACTATTTCTTCCACTCTTGCCTTAGCCTTGAAGTATTTATCGGACTATCCTACATTGCTGCAGCAACTTACCGTAAGTAATTATTAATTACTCCAAGGATCATCGAAACATTTTCTATTTTTTTAGCGGTAAATTTGTATTCTTTAATGAAAAACTAAATAAATAAATTTAACCTTTGCCTAGGAGGAGCACGAGGAAATTCTTAAGAAAAGAAAAGACGGTAACCCTCGAGATGGACTTCTATGGACGGAATACAAATCCATGACTTTTACTCATTACGTCAGTAACATGCCTAACTTGACAAGTTTTATTTTCCTTCCCTTTGTCTGTTTTCCCTTCATTTAAAGTTTTTTTTTTTTTTAATCAAAGGTTATGTTTGATTCATATGATTTGTGGCTAATTAGGTCATCAATGAGTCACTTAGATTAGCAAACGTTGCTCCTGGGATCTTAAGAAGGGTTATGAAGGATATTCATGTTAACGGTAATTTTTTATGAACACACTGATTTTTAATTCAATATATATATATATATATATATGGTTGGATAAAATTTATTTATTTATATATTTATATCATATATTAATCATTTCTTGATTTGCAGGATACACAATACCAAAAGGTTGGGCTATCATGGCTGTGCCTGCAGCCCTACAGCTTAATCCTAACGCTTTTGAAGGTCCTCTTGCATTCAATCCTTCAAGATGGAAGGTATTTACTAGTTTAACTTTCCCCATAAGCATAGTCATAGCTGTTGGAGGAAAAAAAAAGTTGATAAATTACTCGAGTACTGATCTCCATAATTTACATCTTGTTTTGTATCTTTTTAAGAACATTGGAAGCAACGCAACGGCAAAGAATTTCATGCCATTTGGAGGAGGCAATAGGGCATGTGCAGGAGCAGAGTTCAGCAAGGTCCTGCTGGCTGTATTTTTACATGTCTTGGTCACCAAATACAGGTATACATAAAAAGAGCAACTTAATTATATATCAACCTGAAACTGACAACCAAAAAAAAAATGCAAATTTGGCTTAGGTGGACAAAGATCAAGGGAGGGGATCTGGTTCGTGCACCGGCTCTGGGATTCGCCAACGGTTTCTACGTTAACGTTTCAGAAAAAGATGCATAAGTTGTTACACATTACATGTGGAAGAATAAGCTGGAAATCCCAGAGTTCACTGTCTGGGACAGATCGATTTGACTACAAATTACTATTTGAGTTAGCAATAGTTCCTTTGTTATAGTCTTATCAACTCTTGTTTGTGTTGTGTGTGATTGAGACTGTTTTCACCTTGTATAAATCCTTGGATAAATGTAAAACAGAAATAATCGTCCAATAGTAGCATTTGGCTTGGAATGATTTCTAAGAACCGGCTGCTCCTCGGTCCTCATGGTTGAGCAATTACCAGTTTTGCTTGATGAAACAGGGTAGCTTTGGCCTTTTTTTTTTTTTTTTTCCGTAGGAAAACAAAAAATGATATATAAAGACAAAAGTAATATTTCTTAAAAGCTGAAACTAACGGAACCTAGGAGTTCCATCCATCCAAACGAAACAGAAAGCTTTTTCATTTTAACCCAAAAAAAAAAAAAGAAAACAGAAAGCTTTTTGCTTCTTGGGCCTGGGTTGGATCTAAAACTCATACACATATGTTGCCAAATTTGGGCCTTTCTTAAGAGTTTGTAAACGGAAATGAGTCAGTCTCAGTGAGTTAAATCTTAAATAGAATCCGCCTTGATGCTAGGCCTAGGGCCTCTTTGTGTAATTTAAAAATACTATTTATTTGAAATATATAATTTAAAAAATAATATAACAAAAGAAATGTAATTATTTTTTTATTTCATTAAATGGCATTTTTTATTATGTCATTTAATATAGTCTGATACTCCACCAACACTTAAATAGGAAAAAATGTAAGGTATAAGTATAAGATAGGGAGTTAAATACTCATATTGCCATTAGTAGGTGGGTAGCAGCTGCAGCAATTTGTTATCTAAACAGATATGGGCAAGTGCATTTGCCTAAATAGTGCTAACCATGGTAAAATAGTAGGAGCAGATATCATACACGGCACCTGTCGGTTTCATAGCATAAACATCATAGACTCCAAGTTGGTACCAAATCCTGTTGTCACTCGTTCGTCTTTCGTATTACAATACCCCACGGAAGCGTTGAAGAAGAAGAGATGGAGGGTCCGATTAAGTGCTCTGCCAATTACATTCCTTTGACTCCGATCAGTTTCTTGGACCGCTCCGCGATTGTCTACAGAGACTCTGTCTCTGTTGTCTACGGTGATATCAAGTATACCTGGAAACAGACACGTGAGAGGTGCGTCCGTCTTGCTTCTGCGCTTGCCCACCTTGGAATTTCCCGTCGAGATGTGGTATATTTTAACTCTTGCGTTTCATTCTGTTTCCTAGTTTCATGTTGTCTCTGTTTCCTGTCTATCAGTGTATTAGTAATTCTGTCTTTGCTTTCTTTATCTAGCAGGTTTTTTTTTTATTATTTTCTTCACCATTTTCCAGTATTTTTCTGCGATTTTCAGAATGCTTTAAAATACCCATGACTTTAAAACTAGTTAAATTGCCGTTATCTTGCTGAACCAAAGCTGGGAAATTGCTGAAAAACCTAAAAGGAAAAAGGAAAAAAAAGCTATTATTCATCCTAAAACAAGAATCTATATAAGATAGCTCCTTTTCAATTTGATGGTCAGTACTCAATAGTCATATATACTTACTGTGGGTCTGTGTACTCGTAATATGTAGAAAAATATTGGTCCCTCATTGCTTGAGAATTGAGTCTGTGTGTACTATGTACCTGCAGTCTACAGACATGTGCGTATTCATTAGGCTTCTACTGGTGACCTGAAAACCAGGGAGTCGTGTCTTTAAATTTTTGTAAGGTGGCTCTTGATTAGCTAGAATTTTCATAAAAGTAGATGGTACAGGCTACAGGGAGACCTTTATTTTTTGTTAAATAGAGAGGAAACACTATGGTTGTTTACTTTTATTATTATTGTTATTATTATTCTTTTATGTTTTTTATATTTTGTTGAATAATTGCTGACTTAACCTGGCGAGTGGACAGTGAGGGCTACTTTCTTCAGTGTTATCTTATTTGTTATTTGTAACAACCAAAGACTGCAGAGATTTACGGAATATTCCTTCATGAACTCATTAATTTATCGCTTAAACTTACATAAGAAAACCTGAGAGTTCTAATAATTGATAAATGGATTCGCTTCTAGAACTTAGGCCACACTTTTGTTTTTAAGCTTGATTTTATCTTCTTTTCACCTCTATATTGTTTTCCTTCTTACTGAAGGCCAAGGAACTGTCTGAATCTCCAACTTGCATACATAGTTACATAACCGCTCCCTTTTACTTTTATGGCCAATTTTTGCCTATTTGAGAGCAGGTTGCTGTATTAGCCCCAAATATTCCAGCGATGTATGAGTTACATTTTGGTGTTCCAATGGCCGGGGCAGTTCTATGTACATTAAATATACGTCATGATTCACCTATGGTGGCAGTGTTACTGAAACATTCGGAAGCCAAAGTCCTTTTTGTAGATTACCAATTTCTCCATATTGCTCAGGGAGCATTGAAAATACTATCCAAGACAAAGGCTAAGCCGCCCCATCTTGTCTTAATCTCAGAGTATGATCAGCAAGTTTCGACCAGAAGCAACACCAACTCCTCATCTGCAAACTTGGACTATGATAGCCTTTTAGCAAAAGGGAAACTAGATTTTGAGATCAGAAGACCAGAAGATGAGTTCGAACCTATCTCGCTTAATTATACTTCTGGCACGACATCAAGCCCAAAAGGTGTTATTTATAGCCACCGAGGTGCCTATCTCAATTCTCTAGCAACGGCTCTTCTCAATGAGATGACCTCAATGCCTGTATATTTATGGTGCGTCCCCATGTTTCATTGCAATGGATGGTGTCTTACTTGGGGGATTGCTGCTCAAGGTGGTACAAATGTTTGCTTAAGAAATGTCTCTGCAGAAGGAATATTTGGCAATATTGCTCGGCATAAGGTGACTCACATGGGTGGTGCGCCTACGGTTTTGAACATGATAATAAATGCACCAGCTAGTGACCAAAGGCATCTTCCAGGTAAGGTTGTGGTCATGACAGGTGCTGCACCACCACCACCGCATGTACTTTACAAAATGGAAGAACTGGGATTTAGAGTAATTCACTCGTATGGCTTAACAGAAACCTATGGTCCAGGAACAGTTTGCACTTGGAAACCAGAATGGGATTCCCTTCCTCATGATGTACAGGCTAAGATCAAGGCTCGGCAGGGGGTGAATCATCTTGGAATAGAGGAAATTGATGTTAAAGATCCTGTTACCATGAAGAGTATGCCACCTGATGCAAAGAGTATAGGTGAGGTTATGTTTAGAGGCAACACTGTCATGAATGGATACCTTAAAAATGTCAAAGCAACAGAGGATGCTTTTAATGGTGGATGGTTTCGAAGTGGGGACTTGGGAGTGAGACACCCTGATGGTTATATAGAACTCAAGGACCGCTCCATGGACATAATCATTTCTGGGGGAGAAAATATTAGCTCAATTGAAGTGGAATCAGTACTTTTTAGCCATCCAGCTGTGCTCGAGGCAGCTGTGGTGGCAAGACCAGATGATTACTGGGGCGAGACACCTTGTGCATTTGTAAAGTTGAAGGATGGATGCAATGCCAGTGCTGAAGAAATTATCAAGTATTGTCGGGATAACTTGCCCCATTACATGGCTCCTCGAACTGTGGTTTTCCAGGATTTGCCAAAGACTTCGACCGGAAAGACACAGAAATATCTTCTACGAGAGAAGGCCCGGGCATTAGGAAGCATTTCAAAGAACCAGAGTAAATTGTAGATCACCTTTGACCGGAAGATAAGGTCTTTGCAGTAGGCTGGTATTTTATGCGTCAACTTATATATAACTCCTATAATGGTACCCATAATGGAGGTAACAATTGCTCACGCTTTATTGCGAATGGATTGAATTTTAGTCGAAATACTAGTAATAAAACGAACATTAATCACAGAGGAGTATTAAACTGGACAAGGCGCTCTACAAACTCTTGGCAAATAGAATGAACTCCGAGACGTTGGGGATGTTGAAACCTTGGTTCTTGTATGGAGTTGAATTTGATAGAAACGAACCTCAAAAAAAAAAAATTTTAATTTGAGTCAAATCTAACTTTTTAGGTAAAGAATGTATAAGCTTTTCAAATATTCAGGAATCTAGGTTTCAGATATCTTTTCTCTTTTCTTTTTGAAAGGCAATAAAGGTTTATGAAGAGATTTAGAAAGAACAATCAACCAAAAACAAATTCAGGGCCCCTTCCCTAACTCAACCAAGGGACTACCTAGTAAAAGCCAGACAAGGTTGTTCCCTGTCTTCTCCTAATTTAGCCAGACCGTCTGCTAAGAAATTAATTTACTTTCGTGAAGCAACTGATGAGTCATAAAGCTATATTTGAATGATGGCTTAATCTCAGTGGATCTCCAATCCACCGTTTTCTCTTTAAACTGTGGGACAATATACACATGCAAATATGGGTATCAGACAAACAAGTTATTGATACTTGGAGAAAAATTCGGATTGATCAGAAAGGAAATGAAGCATCAGAAGTAGCACGAAATTCAATCTACGTTGGTCTACATTAGTCTTTGAGGATTCACGTTTCAGTGTTTCTATGCTCTTGCCTATTATTTTGGGATTGCTACTGTTGCAGCAGTTGTTAGTTGAATTGCCTCAAGGCCTAGGAGTTGGAAGTCAAAACAGGTTGCTCAGAGACCTAATTAACATCCATTGCAATTGCTACCTCGAAGTCTCGAACTGGATGGCTAATACCAGCCAGTTTTGCTGATCTAACAGGTTTGAATTGAACCACGATTTCTCCTTTTTTGGAGGTCTGTGACTTGGTTCAGTTTTGTCCTCACCCACCTAATAAGAGTAAAAAACAAAATGTCTGTCATCCATACGACAATTACTTACCAGAAATCCTATTGGTGTCTCATAATACCGATTCACTAAGCATTTCCAATACAAGTCCTGCTTCTATCTTATCTCCGATTTGGCAAAAAAAAAAAAAAAAGAAATCTCTGGCCATGATTTTGGTGCATCTACTTTGAAAAGATGTGAGAAATTGGGTTAGAATTGTCTTTCCGAAATTATGCCGATCCAGAAACTGAGCAAATCTGCCTCTTTGGCTTTATAGCAGCACTTACATGAGAAACGATCACAAGAAACGTAAACTTCATTGTTGAGCACCCAAAATGGAGACGGAAAAGAGGATTGCGATCATAGGCGCTGGAATTAGCGGTTTAATGGCGTGTAAATATACAGTAGAAAAAGGTTTCAGTCCCATCGTGTTTGAGGAAAGGAGTGGAATTGGTGGAGTTTGGTCACAAACAATAGAGTCTACTAAGCTACAAGCACCCAAAGATTTCTATCAGTTCTCTGATTTTTCATGGCCCCCTTCTGTGAGAGGGCCTTACCCTGATCACAACCGAGTCCTGGAATACCTCCAAGCCTACGCTGTTCACTTCAACATCTTTCCTCGGATCAAATTCAACTCCAAGGTAACCTGCATCGATTATGTCACATCGTCTACTGAAAATGTGCTTTCCTGGGATTTATGGGGTGGCTCAGGTGAGCCTTTTTCTCCCTCTGGGAAATGGAAAGTCGCCGTACGATATGCCCGGGATCCATCTGCTCCAATTCGGGTAGTCGCTGTCCATATTAGTTTCATGTATTTCGTTTTTCAATTGATTTCGTGCATTCATAAACTTCTACTCGTTTAAATTATTTGTAAGCTGAATGAGGCAATTAAACATTTTCAATCTTTATTTTTTTTTGACATTTCCTGATTTTGTCTGAGTCTAAAATGTACACTCAAAGAACATGCTTTTTCGGTGGCCGTTGCGCATAAGACTTTCTTGCAGGTCGAGAAATTTTTACTTTTGTGGAATTTAGTAGATGAAAAGAAGCTAGCCCAAGTCCAATATTTATTTTTCTCACATTTGTATATGTAATAACTGACAAGAAGGCGTTCCAAGTGGATTTTGTGATTCTATGCATAGAAAAGTACAGTGACTCGCCAAACATTCCTGATTTTCATTGAACAAAGGACCTGAAGTGTTTAGTGGCAAAGTCTTGCATTCCATGGATTATGCTGCAATGGATGATGATCTTGCCCCTGAATTAATCAAAGAAAAGCGAGTCACCGTCATTGGATTTCAGAAATCAGCAGTGGATATAGCAGCAGAAGTTGCTAGTAGAAATGGTGCAAGCTTTTGCTCCTTCTCTAGGAATCATAAAGTAATTGCATTCTTAAATTTCCAAATCCCAACCTGACTACAAGACGAGTTAAATTTGATAATCCTGGTCTATGGAACTCCAGATTTCCTGTGTAATTAACTGAATGTGAAACAAATTCGTTGTTTGAACTTTGAATAATTGTGCTCTGAAAATCAGCGACTACGTAAGAACTTGAAAGTAGTAGATGAGCAAGAATTGGAATCCATTTTTTCTGCTTTTTTTTCCTAAGTCATAATGTTTTGGCGTTTAATCTAATCTTGTTGTTATGAGGAGCAAGTCACCCGTGTACTCTGTTGTTCAGGACGGTCCACTGGACTGTTCCTGAATATTTACTCCCACTTGTCTTTCGAGGTTTGAACCGCTTCACAGTGTTAATGATGTTAGGAAAATGGGGTCCAGTCCCATGTAAGTGATTTTGGACCAAGTAAAGGTCATGGGCCTTGATCTTTTATTTTACACAGAGCCTTAGCTATTTAATAAAAAAGAGGTGGGGTTGTTTAAGGTGTGAGTCGACAACCAAGCAGAGAAAGAAGAAAAGCCAGGAAAAGCAGAGAGAGAAAAAGAAGAAGGGAGAGTTGGTTAAACGGAAGTCGATCCGTGGTCCGATTGAGTTGGAACCTTGTCAGGAGGTTTATGATTCAGAGTTATACATTCTGAACGGTGAAGATCGGGTTTGAAGCTCTCTAGGAACAAATCCAGGGTGTATTTGTTGAGTCACTTATTTGGTGAGATTTCTCCAATTGTTTCTCTAGTTGTTGATTAGCTCTAGTTTTAACTAGAGAAGAACTTTGTATAACTATTATTTGATAGTGAAGATTTTTCTGGTGGCCCGTGATTTTTCCCTCTACACTGGAGGGTTTTCCACGTAAATCTTGGTGTGCTTTATTTTTCCTGCGCATTTGATTATTGATTGTTGTCTATTGCTTCTGTATTGTTGTGATTATTGCTTCAGGCGCAACAAGTGGTATCAGAGCGAGAGTTATTTTGAGACATCGATACAGAAGCAACCCAGGATAGAAGTAAATTCTGTTTGAGATCATGGAGGGTGATACAGGTTCCATGATAAAATTGACAGCATCAAATTATTCAATTTGGAAGCCTATGATGGAGGATCATCTATACTGCAAAGATTTGTATGAGCCAGTATTGGGTGATTCTGCTAAACCAGCAGATATGAAAGATGAAAGCTGGAAGAAGCTAGGTAGAAAGACGCTGGCTACAATCAGAAAATGGGTTGATATCAGCGTGTTTCATCATGTAGTGCAGGAGTCAGATGCTCACATTGTTTGGGAAAAATTGGCAGCATTGTATGAGAGAAAAACATGTATGAATAAAGTTATGCTTGTTAAGAAGATTGCAACTTTACAGTACAGGGATGGACGATCTGTTACAGAGCACTTGAGTGATTTTCAAGATATATTTAATCGGATGACTACTATGGAACTTAAGATGGATAATGAAATGAAGGCATTATTTTTTTTTGGTTCATTGCCAGACAGCTGGAATACTCTAGTTGTGACTGTTCTTAATTCAGCTCTTGATTATAAGGTGACATTGGAGATGGTAAAGGACAGTATGCTTAATGAAGAAGCGAGGCGAAAAGATGTAGACCCTGAGAATCAAGCTCTGGTCACAGAGAACAGGGGTAGAAATATCGACAGAGGTCAGGACTCAAAAGGCCGTGGTAAGTCTAAACATAGATCCAAATCTAGAGGTAAAGTGAAGTGTTTCCATTGTGGTAAGGCGGGTCATATAAAACGAAATTGTAAAATCTTGAAGCAAGAGCGAAAAGATGAGAAAAGCAAGAGTTCAGATGATGGCAATGTTGCAGCAGTGAATTCAGATAGTGATTCAGTTACTTTGATTTGTACACATGGTGATTGTAATCATGTTAGTGATCCCGACATTGAGTGGATAGTTGACACAGGAGCGGCATATCATTGTGTTCCTAAGAGAGAGTTGTTTACAACTTACAAAGCAGGAGACTTTGGTTGTATCAAGATGGAAAATAAGAGTGTGTCGCAGATTGTTGGGATTGGTGATATTAGTGTACAAACTAGTACAGGCTGCATGTTGACTTTAAGGGATGTCAGACACATTCCAGATATGAGAATGAACTTGCTTGCTATTAATATCCTTATTAAGGAGGGATATGAAAGCCGACAAAAGAATGGACAGTGGAAGCTTCTCAAAGGATCTATGGTAGTTGCAAGAGGAAAACTATGCTGCACAATGTATAAGACATGGATGCAATTGAACGGTAACCAGGTAAATACCGTTGAAAATGATGCTTCAGCAAACTTGTGGCACAGGAGGCTGGCACACATGAGTGAAAAAGGGTTACAGGTTTTGGCAAGGCACTCTCTCATTCCCTTGACCAAAGGTATGTCTCTCGATTCATGTGATTATTGTTTGTTTGGTAAGCATCATAGAGTTTCTTTTCGTAAAAGTTCTCAGAGAAAAGAAAATAGATTGGAATTAATTTATTCTGACGTATGTGGTCCCATTGAGGTTGAGTCATTAGGTGGTAGCAGATATTTTGTTACTTTTATTGATGATGCTTCACGTAAGACTTGGGTGTATATGTTGAAATATAAAAGTCAGGTACTGCAGTATTTTCAAAAATTTCATGCCATGGTTGAAAGGATGACAGGGTTACCCTTGAAGTGTATTCGAACTGATAATGGT